CTGTACAGATCTGTTGTTTTCTTTTAGCTTGAAATAATCCCATACCTTGAACACTTTCTGTCTTTTTCTCTTTTTATCCCTCGCTAAATTCTCTCTCTTTCTCCACTTTGCAAACAGCGCCATCAAATCACATTGTCTTCACTTGCCCACAGCCTAAGTGCATTGTGCGACAGTAATAATTGTCTGTGCGAAGCAGTGCGCTGTATAGTTACATTGATTAAACGAAGCATCGATGCAAATAATTTGCATTGATGCTTTTCAGTAATCACATTATTCGAATTTCTCGATAAATCGTTTCAGCCTTAGTTGTCACCCATTATCTCTTTTTCTCTTTGTCTGCCATTTTATGTTTTATGTCTCCCCTCTAGTTTCTCGGTCTGAGCACCGGCAGCAGAGCGACAGGGAGCGTGGCCGGTCTAAGGAACGCTGTCACCTCCTCTCTCCGGACACGTCTCGTTGTAACTCAGAGGAAAGAAGCTTGCAGCCCTCACGATCCTCTAGTGTAGAGAGAGCACACACCCAAGATAAACAGGTAGGTCAGAAAAGCCTAAATGTCCAGCTAACCGATTCAGGGACAGCAAAAAAAGCAGGCTCACAAATGAAATTACTTTAAAGTAAAATTAAAAATGAAAAAGCAAATTTTCCCTCCAGTCAACTGTTTGTATTTTTTCTGGTGAGTTGTCAAGTGAACGCTACAATTGTTGTCCACAGGTCACCAAAGTGATGGTGAGCCTAGGGATTCTTTTAGTTGTATTGTGGACAAGAACAGTTTTGCATTTTGTGATTAGAAAACAGCTGACTGTGTAGCCTAAATCTGTAGAAAAAGACTGCAAACGCTGCTGTAGTTGAAATAATACAATATTAATAAGAATATTTTTCTGATATCAGTGTCACAATATGGTAAAGGTATGTAAAATCACACAAACAGTTCAACAGTTTCCCAGGGGATAAATAAAAGACACTTAACACTGTTCCACTTATGCATTATGTTAAACAAAAGCCTTCTGTAACTTCTGTATGATTTTCTGGGAGTCATTTATGTGGATAACAGAATAAAACATTTTTTTAAAGTAACAAGTTAAATATTGTATACAATAATATTGAATTGCCCAGCCCAAACAAAATGTAAAAAGGAGTCAGCAGAATGAAAGATGGATTGGCTGGAGCGAGGGATTGGGAAAAAAGAATGCTGCATCTTGTTTTTGCAATGTCTTGCAATCCGGCACCAGCTAGGAGTACATACTCCATTTAAACTTCAATTTAATTTAACCTGAAAACTGCTAGTTTAGATTAAGCCAGTTAAGTCTGATGATGTCACCAGGCTTGTTGAGCTGTGTTGTAAACTGAGGACAGCAGCTTAAAACATCTACCAGCCAGTTTGACCATTTATCTTTTATGTGTCTCTCACAGGCCTCACAACTTTGTGGAAGTGTGATGCTAAATTAGTGGAATGCCCCTTTACATTTTGACAGGTATACGTTTTTTAAACAATAACCTTGAAGGCGACAGTCCATGACATCATTGTTTATTCTCATCTTCAGGGCAACAGCTCGGACAGTCCGGTGCCCTCCACCTCAGAGTCCAGCACTCCCAGCGGCCGACGACCTATATCACAGACCCCGACTCGCCCCCGCCCTCACATCTCCTACTCCCCGCTCGAGTGTCGCACACACCCCTCCGTCGGTGAAGACGAGGATGAACAAGGTAGCCCAGAGACCATGAGACGGGGCAAGCCCACCTGGGACACCCAAGAGGGGGTCGCAGGTGAGAGGCTGTGCGAGGCAGGCCGTCACCCGTCCCCACCTCGACGCTACCCCTCCGAGCCGTTCTTGGCCTCCCAAGAGGACGACCACAGCCCAGACCCCTCTGGTCCCATGGAGACGCTGACCTTTGAGGCGGCTGTGGCCTGCAGCCTGGGACGCTCTAACACCATCAGCTCAGCCCGCCCGCGCTTGCGGACCGGCTGGCAGGTCCCCAACGGACATTTTCGGAAGCGTCTGGCGCAGACAGCCTCAGTTGCAGGCTGTGATCCTCTCAGCGATACAGAGGAGGACGACAGGTGCTAGGGACAGGAGGCATACCGTGAGGTGGGAGGGGGAATCCCAGAGAGGTGTTAGAGGACTCTGCACGACAGTGTACAGGATCAAGGTTAATGTGACTCTTTTTGCATCAGTGCTACGAGGCCATGAGTCCTCTGGATATTTGGTCAAATGTGAACCTGAAACGAAAAGAACAATACTTCCTGAAACTGTAGTTGCCAATTCACACAGAATACTGACAATAAATAAGGTCTATTTCCTGACTTGTACTTGATGACAGAGAGTAATAATACATCTCAAATAGTTGCAGGATGCAGAAAAGAAATGAATGGATCAAATTATGTAATTTGTGTCAATAGGTACTTTCATTTCTGAAGATGTTTTTAAATCATTCAGTGTTGCTCTTAACAGTATTTATCTGTGGGGTGTGAATATGTAACTACATTTTCTTATAAATTAATTGTTTTGTACATACATTGTGATCACCACACCATCGCCATTTATTAGACCAGATCAATACAACAAGCCATTGTGTGAAGGCGATCTGATATACCAGATAATGTGGATACTAATAAGTAACACTCAATAATGCTGGATTTTTTTACAGTATGAATGAATGTGAAAAAAACTGCTGATTTATTTTTCTTTTTGGTATTGGACACAATAACTTGTGAGATATGAATACAGTTACAGGATAACACAGAAAGGTTTATTTGTTGTTTCACCCTGTGTTATTGTTACAAACCTCAGTTATCCATTAAAACAGCTTTTTGCTTTTATTTTTTTCCAGTGAACACCCTTTAAACAAGAAACTTTCCAACAATTATATTTAACATTTGAGTTTGAGAATTGTTGTTGGCATGTAATTTTACCATGAACTGATATGAAAACAAAATGATCTTTAATCTATTTTCACCTTTTTCTTCCTTGTGAATATTGTATGTACCATTGCAGACAATGACTGTAGAAACACTGTAGACACACCATGACACATTTGCTTCACAAATTAACATTACTCTTATTACTTACTAATAATGTACAGAGAACGTATGCTGTTTGTAACATTAAGAGAAAAAAAAATAAAATTAAACTGTATCAGCTGATGAGCTTTAAAGGTAAAGGAATCTTTGGAAATGTTCATTTTAAGGTTTGTGTTTTTGTTTTATTTGCCTAAAGAAGGCCAATTCTGTGAAACTCACTTAACCAAAAACATGGAGATTTGTATCATACGTTCCTGGAATGCAAATACTTTGTGGGTTTTTATGTGTATAATAGCTGTATATACAAATAAAGTTGTCCTCAAGTTGCCACTGTTTTTTTTTAAATGTTTTATATAGAGCCTGGAAAAACATCAGATACCTTTTATAAGTGAGAAGCCTTGAGCAACACAATAACACTCCCACCGAAACCATTTTAAGTGCATTTGGAAATTGATTGTTTGTTCTGTTTCTTAAATGTACTTTCTTGATTTACTATACTTATTAGTTTTTAACACTGATCACAAGCAAGAAACTGTTTAAAAACATAAAATTATAAAATGCTTTTTTAAAGGCTCTAAACACATATGTTCACCCACACAGGTGTTTTCACCCGTACCTGATCAATCTTCTATAACTGTGTGGCAGTGTACAGACATGCATGATCCTTTTTCACCATTAAGTACAAGGTGTTATTAATAACATTAACATTGGTTCTGTTTTATTGAAAGCCAGCATGTACTATACCATGACCACAAAACTGATGCAGCTAAATGGAATTCAGCCATATCAAAATCATCTCACTTATCCTCCATTAATTCTCCATTCATTTTGTTGCACCTGTCAAAATGAACAATTGCACCTTAATCATCCTTATTGGTTCATGTAGTTTGTAAGCATCACATACTTAGCTCCACAAACTTCAGCCTGAGCAGCCAGAATAAGTGAAAACACATTTCACTCTTTTGTGAATAAAAACATTTGTGAATGAAAATTACCACTCAAGATCAAAACATTTACAGTAAGATCAATCTTCAGGGCCTTACGTTGAAAACGACTAAGTTTTTAAGTTTACAGTTAAAGAAAACATGAGTGAGAAATTCTTGTTTATCTTGACCAAAAATACAACTGCTACCATCCATCCATCCATCCATCCATCCATCGTCAACCGCTTATCCTGCATACAGGGTCGCGGGGGGGCAGGAGCCAATCCCAGTTTACATCGGGCGCAAGGCAGGGTACACCCTGGACAGGTCGACAACTGCTACCAATATTAGCAAAACATGAAATAAAAACATTAACAGGGTATACGTTATACAGGATCACATATAAAATATCATCAAGAGATGTTTTAAGAGTGAAATTCATATATGATAGCAGCACATAAGACAGAGGAAATGATAAAGAACTAGTTAAATGAAATAAATAAATAAAAAATATGATACAGTATGTAATATATGATATACAGTTTATAACCTACATGTGATAAAGGTGCAATTGTATTTTTTTACGTTTTATTGTACCACATTGTATACTGGGTTGTCTTTAGGTAGAAATATTAACATTTAGTTTATGGTGTTAAAAATGATAATGACAATTGACATTTGACACAAAATCACAAATGAACTTTTTTTTTACAAATTAGTATAGGTATACCATGTGGCATGCCTACATTTAGCTATATCTCAAACCTTTTTAGACATACAGAATGCATATAGTAATGATCAAGGTTTAATCCAATTTATATGTTTATCGCTTGGATTTTTAATTTTTTGTAACACATCTGAATGTAAAATTGACAGATTTTTTGTTTATTATAATGATTAATTTATTAATAAATCCATCGTGAATTATTAACAATTGAACAATCATTGTTTTTTTGTTTATTATTATTATTTTTTATAATCGAAAGGGGTGGGACTTTGACTCTATCGCGGAATACGTAAAATAAATCATCCAATCACCGCTCAGAATCACATCTAACGTCATATCCAGTGGACTGATAACATGTCCTCTGGTTGAAGAAAAAGCTAGCAAGGAAGCAAACTGTTTAATGTTACTCACGAAGTTAAAAGACAGAAATGTCGCTACAGTCCAGCAATCAGACCGTTCAGTGTTACAGCCACAGTTGCTGCTGAAGTAGAAATTTAGAAGAAATTGTGTTTCTTACAAAGGAATGAGCGATACTTATCAAGGAAGTCGCTCAGCTGGCTAGCGAAAAAGTAGCTAGCTAGGCTGCTAGCTTTCGTTAGCAAGGGAGTTCTTTGTTTTGTTTTTCAGGTGGACGTCCGTGTTAACCTTATACAGTCTGTGGTGTAAACATGAAGAGTAACTAGTGTGAACATTTGCTTTAACATTTAACGTTTATGTAGGAGTTTTATAATCATGTACATTGTATATTTTGTACTAGTAGGTACTTGAACTGGTTTCTGGGATATTTAGACAAAATTAGCCACCGAGAGCAACTTTAGCAGCAAAGGTCTGATTTTTAACGTCGGCCAGGACTAGAGACACGAAGATATGGGCAACTGTCTCAAGTCTCCGACATCAGACGACATTTCTCTGCTTCATGAATCCCAGTCAGACAGGGCGAGTTTCGGTGACGGGACAGATGCAGACCTGGAGCCACCTCCGCCGTACCAGGTGAGAGACAGCAAACGCTCAACTTTCAAGGTATTGATTCAAGAAAAAGAAAGTGTATGGCACGAGTAGGATAAGTGGCCATAAGAATAATATTAGTTAAAAGCCTGAATGTTAATATATAGTAGGTTATCCTTCTGCAGTACTGCGGTCCCTGTGTCTAGTGTTTCATGTCTGTGGCCTATTTATAAGACTGCCTCGGGTCCAGTGTAGTCAGTAGTAGGTATACCCGAGTACGGAAACTGGATTTAAAGTAATCCCCTCTAACTGGCTTGTCAAGAATGTTCATACAGCTTCTTTATTTTTTTTAGTTTATCCGCGCAGCGATCCGGACCAGTCAGACCGCTTTGTATGGACAAAGTGAGCTGGTATGGGAGGATAACAGTTTTTGTTTCACTTTGGTGTTTCTTTGTCTGAAACCAGGAGCAGGCTCACATGCCCATGTACCATCCCACGCCTAGTCAGGCCCGTCTGGCTACCCAGCTGACAGAGGAGGAGCAGGTCCGCATTGCTCAGCGCATCGGCCTCATCCAGCACCTCCCTAAGGGTGTTTATGATGGAGGGCAAGACGGCTCAGAGAAAAAGATCAGAGAGTGAGATTTTTTTGCATTTTTCAATGTGATTTACACAGAGGAAGGCTGCAGGCCATTAGCAGTCTTAATTAATTCAGACATCATATTTTATAAACTTATGTGTGATTAATATTTAATCTCAAATAAGAATGTATGATGTGGTCCATGGGAAACAAATCCACAGCACATTAAGCAGGTGAAGCTGTTCTTGTTTCACATATGTGCTGAAGAGATTAGTTGATTAATGGAAGTGCATGACAGAAAATTATGCAAAAACAATTTTGATAATCTATTAATTGTCTAAGTCTGAGTTGAGAGTGGCATGTATTGTACAGATAAAGCTGGGTTTTTTTATTTTAAATGTGTTTTGTTGTTTTTTGGGGCGGTATAAATTAAATCGACTTGACTTGAAAGTCAGTTGTCACAGAAATGCCAAACTAAAGAAGCCAATTGGATGAGAGGCAAAATGTCTTCAAGCTGTCCAGTTCTCCTTGATTTTAACCTTCCTTGGACAAGCATTTGCTTGTTTTAGCTTTTAAATGTTAGGATTTGCTGTTTTTTTCCCTTCTGTTTTAAATAATTTTAAATAAAATATATTTTTGGTTTTGGACTGTTGGTCAAACAAAACAAGCAATTTAATTCTTAACCTCAGGCTCCAGGATAGTGGTGGTGGTTTTGTACTGTATTTTACAGGCTAAACATATAATCAGTCCTTGAAAATAATAACTGCCACACAGCACTGATATCATTAAAACAATTTGTAATGTGGATATAATGACCAGTATACCAGGAGAACTTTTTGTTTAATGTGTAATATAAATTACGTTGATATAAATCTGCAAATTCTCACATTTGAGAAGCTGGAACCAGATATTTCTCATGTTTATTTGGGAAAAAAAAAAGTTAAATGATTGAAAATTGTTGCCAAATGTTCCTTTGTCACACAGCTAGATTAACTGACAAATCATTTCAGTTCCACACCTGTAATGCATCCTAAAAAACAACTACTTCAAGTCCTAGTTGATTTCGAGTCTAATGTTACAATATCAACTTTATTCTGGTGTCTGTTTAAGCTCTTTATTTTATCCATTTTCAGATGTGTGATCTGTATGCTGGACTTTGTATATGGGGATCCCATCCGGTTCCTGCCCTGTATGCACATCTACCACATGGACTGTATAGACGACTGGCTGATGAGATCCTTCACCTGCCCTTCCTGCATGGAGCCTGTGGATGCTGCCCTTCTCTCCACCTATGAGACCAACTAATTCTAATCCCTCCTCCCCCAAACTTAGACCAATCATGGCCCCTCCAGACCCAAACACACACATACCCAACAACTGCCCTCTTATAGAGTGGGAGGAGCTACAATTTGAGCTAAATGTGTTTGCTGTTTTCTTGCACTTTGAAAAATTCAGATTTATTCACCTAACGTTGGCCTTCCATGCCCCCAGGTCTAAATAAGCTGGTCTTAAACTTAATTTACAGAAATTGGTAAAGTGTTTCCAGGTGACCCTTCACAATTTTCTGTGTGTGTTCGTCATGCTGAGTGAGCATGTGGGATGTGTGTGGGATGTGTGTGAGCTGTTTGGGCTCCTCGATGACTGTGCATTTCCACTTGAGCCGGTCTCAGTGGTGTTCCTCCCTAACTGACACCAGCTCATCTACATTCCCAGTTGGTCGTCATTAAAACGGATAATTGGGTTAAGAGTATTGACCAAAATGCTGCAAGGTGTTGTTAGAGAATGGATTTAATTTTAGGTTTTCTATGGCGACAGTAGGCAAAGACTTCCTCAAAATGGCCCTACACTTTGGAGATACGGAAATTCACAACTATAGTTTACTTTTGGCATTGGATAATAAGATATTTCTGTCCAGCTAGCCAGGATTACAAAAGAAAATGTGCACATACGTAACAGAAATCACCCAAAGTTTACAACTACAAAGAAGATCAAGGCTACATGATATTTGGCCGCTCCAGATGGCGAGACAGAAAATGCTTTGAATTAAAGGGAAAACTATGTTGTATAACTTGAATGTTTCATCAGACGGTGTGTAAAGTAGCTGTCAGCCAATGTAAAGGGCTCATTTGTGCATGGGCAGGTGGATCAGTCAGTCAAAAATTAGAAATGCTTGCACACACTTTTCAGCTGATCCAGAGATTTGCACTTTACTTATAGGACAGTATCTAAACAATATATTAATATATGTACCTTTATAACCTTGCACTATCAATACTTCATTCCTTTTATTTCCTGAGATGCAAAAGTTATATCGCTGATATTTTCAGAGCTGTCAGTAGTCACTCATCACGTTAAAGTAAGCCTGACAATGTATTTCGTGAAACATGTGATTCAGTAGTGAATCTCTGCTTCTTTCTGCTTGATATTTGATTTTTGTGTGGAAGTGAAGGGACAGAGGCTTGCTCCAGTTTAAAGGAGAAGTTCAACATTTTGGGAAATGCAGTTTATCTGCTTACCTGTCAAGAGTTAAATGACAAGATTGATAATCATCCTGATTCTTTGAGATGAGTAAGAAGCTGCAACCAGGAGGCGATTAGCTTAGCGTAAATCAGGGGGAAACAGCTAGAATAGCTTCTAAGCTCAAAAATTGCCTAGCACGAACTCGAGTAATTTTCGGTTTTACGGGGCGTTATGTGCTGTTTGACAACAAATTGTGTCAGCCATTTATGTACTTAAATTAAACAAATGAGATATAATGTGCTAAGTAATGAACTGCACATGTGCTTGTAGGCCAGTTTTTGAACTTTGGACAGAGCCAGGCTAGTCATTTCCCCCTGCTTCCTGTCGTTAAGTTACGCAAATTTCCTCCCTCGTCTAGCTTCATAATATTGCATGAGAGCGGTATCAAATTTCTCAACTTTGTCAAGAAAGTGAAGAAACCTTTTAGAGTGGAGGTCCTTCAAGCCCTTTCTTTATTACACGTCTCATCTTTTGTTTTGTGCTGCTTTACTTCCATTCACTGTAGGATTAGTTACAATCATTGGTTTCCTTTTGATTTGTGGTGTGTTTGGTGATAGCGTGGCTGTCTATTTTCCTGTTACCTGTGTTTTATCTTCTACCTTCACATTATATGTTACATTTGTGTAAAAATCCACTGTGTACTTAGGACCGTAAATAGATGACACACTGGTTTAAACCCGACTGTACAAACCTCTGTTCCAATGAATTTCAGAGTGAGAGAGACTTCTTTTTATGGTGTGCTAGTTACAACTGAGATATCAAGTTTTCCATCGTGCTTTTCCTTTGCTGTGTTTTTCAGCTTATGTTTATTCTGAAGATTAATATTTCCTGTAATCTTGTTTTCTTTTTTTTTTTTCTTTGGAAGGCTAAAAAGCTATCATGTTAAAAAAATAAATAAAGAAGACAAAATATATGTATTTTTTAAAAATTGTTTATTACCATCTGGCAGTCACTCCACTCCATCTTATAAAAGCTGTTGGTATCAGTCAGACAAAGTGGATTAAATGCACGCCAAAGGGCAGATTTGTGGCCCTATGATTACCAAAATAGGAGATTACCGAATACATGATTGCAAAATATTCCTTTGAGCCTTTTATGAATGCGATCCTAAGATCTGGCAACGGAGTGGAAAACATGACTACATAATCAGGGTTCTCAATTCAACTGATGATGTAGCAAGCGAGCCAAATTGATAATGTTTGATGCTTTGTTCCCTGTGCTTGCGTCAGCTGGGGAACATGTGAGTGAAATGGACTGTCGAGTGTTTAATATGAGATGCACAAACGGAGTGGGTTTGTAATTACAAAAACAGGTAAAATGTGTGGACAGGTTCAGACCAAGATCCATTCAAACCAAGTGGATGCCTTGTTTATGTACATGAATCTTGCGTCTAATGCAATGTGGTTCATATCACACTGATTAGAAGGATATAATTGGACACACAATTGGTTGCAACATACCCTTTCTTCAGATTAAGCAGTGACACAGTTAATCAGCTTTGCAGTTCTGCAAGATTTGAGATCAGATTCAGTTCACTTTAAGCAACACAATAAGGACAGGAATGGAAAGGTCACTTGTTCAAACGCAACTGTAAAATGATTTTGTGTGACAATATAACCAATCTTTACAAGTACCACAGGAATTTAGGCTGAAGGATTATTGGTACTAGTTGTTTTTGCTGAATTGATGTAATGATATATGTGCTAGTTTTAAGAATCACCAAGCATAAATGTACATCTAAGCTATTTTAATCCCTATAAACATCTCTGGAGATTGGAGCAGGAATTCCATTGTCCTGTTTAAAAGTATTTTAAGCCAGTAAATATCGAGTTTTCCAGAGGATTGAACTACGGTTGACAGACAATGCCTTTGCTTAGTTTGCCACTACCTAGTAAATAGCCAATGAACATACCACATAACAGAAGAATACAAAACAACCATATGTTTTGATTTTGCCAAATTTATTTCTCCAACCACAAATTATTCATGTCACATGAACAAATCCTTTCTATGTTTTTTTAAAAACAGTGCTTACAAATCAAATTGGGACATGGCAATTAGACACAAAAGGCACATAAATTCACAAATTACTATTTTCATTTGCTTAGCAACCCACGTTGACTGCAGATAAGGCTGAATTGAAAAGTTTTATTTGTTTTGATACAATATCACTAATTAATACTGATTGACAGTTGATAACCCTGTAATGGCGGACTACCGTTGACACCCTGAGAAAAGCGTCATTAGGGCTTGTACATCCCATGAAAGGTGACAGGGATGCTGCATTCAACTTCTGCCCTGGCAATCTCCGACAGATCCTTGGCGTTGAGGATGAGGAGGTATGCTGGTCTCTGGGAACCTGGGGCTGCCACGATGGTCAACAGCACTCCTGAGGGCACAGCACCACATTATCATAAAACCATTTCTATCACAGTAAGCATAGGATTAACTATATTGCTGCTGACGTACCGTCATCCTCATCTACCCCATCAGGAGTCTGAACAAACAAGGGCTCTGAGGGGTAGGAATCTGGTTCTTGCCATACCCAGGTCTCCTTGGTCTTGACATTCAACTTGCAGATCTACACACAAGTGGAGAAGAAAAATCAGGCAATGTAAAGGCTTGTTTTACACACTTAGAATTTAAGGTATTTTGTTAACTTACCCTGTCTGGTATGAAATGGTTGAGACCCAGGGCATAGGCGTATGTGTAATTCTTCCCTCCATACCTCTTGTAGTTGATCTGAGGGAACTCAAAGGCTACAAAACAACATGAAAATGGTTACATAAAGAAGATGTTTCCAGTATATGTTAAAAAGTAATGTGTCCACCATGTATGAGTAAATTAAATGGGTTTGCACCTTGGCGAGGCCCGGAGAATAGCACCTCCGGCTCCAGCCAGATCGTCCCATCAGCGTGCATCGTCGCGGTGGCTGTGGTGTACGGCAGGCTGATGAGGTTCTTCCCCTGCTCCTCCTACATCACGTCAGCAATGATGTGAGAGCAAAGAATATGAGACTACTGTAGGTGGAAACTTGTGTCCTCCTGATGAAAACAACAAGTGACTCACCTTGTGGACATCCAGGGGAATAACATATCTGCGGACCTCTGGCTGTGGTGCCATCATGGCTGCCTTCTTCACCTCATCCCAGTTGGCTCTCAGGTTGGCCAACCAGAGGTAGTTGTAAACAAACTCAAAACTGCACAAATGAACGGATAATGTACACATCCCTGTACCAAACAAATCTGCAGAAGATGTACATGAAGATTTAAAAACGTTAAAACATTTAACTCTTCATTTACCCTTTCCATCCACAGAGGTCAACAACAATGAAGCCTTGGTCCTCATAGGTGTTGATGTGATGAAACATGCCAATGGCTCCCCCTTTGAACTTGTGATCAATGTACTCTCCCGGGTCTTTCTTGGCAATGTGAAACAAGGTCTGTAAAATGTACATCAGAATAGATATAATGAGATTTCAGGTGCAGAGCCGACGATAATATCAAGGGTTAGAACACTTCAAATTGCAAAAGATATTAATCTACTCCAAGTTCTTACTCCTTGGTTCTCATTGGACTCAAAACAGTCCATGTAGTTGGAGCCTCGGATGGCCCAAGCACCAAGGAATTTCAGCAGGTTGATTTTCACTGGGGTCTCCACAAAGACAAAGTAGTTGTCCGACATGCCAAAGCTGAAATTGTTAAAAGAGTGAAGTGCCAACACTGATAGCATACCAAATGGATTAATGTCAAACAGCCTGTGGGCTAGAGTCTTAACACAAACCTGTGCACATAGGAAGGCTTGAACCTCTCAGCACTGGGGAACTGCACCACCACCTTGGACTTCTCAATGGGGTCAGACTTATCTAATAAAAAGGCAGAGGTTATGATATTTAAAACACTTATTATTATTATTATTATTATTATTATTATTATATTATTATTTATTCCCAATAATCTTTAAGAAGTGATTTCAATACTTCTTTTATAAAACATTTTGCTTGGTTTTAGAGAGAGGTCACAGTGATTCCTTTAACCCCGAATTAACCATGGTTAAAGGGGAGGCCCTTGCTGTTAAAGTGCCTGTGTGAGTTTGCTGTTACATGTAGTGATGCCAGCGCTGATCCAAACCTTTCTGTGTGGGTGGAATCTTGACAATGTTGTAGGCCAGGGATGCTCCTTTCCCCATGCAGTTTCCAATGTTATACACAGTACCATCTTTCTCAATATGAGGGTGGGCTGTCACTCCGTTAATGTTGACGTAGTCACACATATCAACCTGCATTAAAAATAAAGATGCTTTGCTGTACTTTAACATGAAGAAATTTACCGTTCTGACATTTGAAAGCGGTAAGATTGGCTTCTTACACCTCAAATTCTTTGATACGTTTGTATTGATGTACCTTCTTCAGTGTCTCCAAAGTTTCAACGTTCACTTTAGTGATGAAGTTGGTTTCTGTCACGGCATAGAAATCCTCACCAATAGGGTAAACATTCACCAGGCAGTTGTCTGTGACCTCAACACCCTTGAAGTAGGTGAAAAACCTGCAAACAAAAGAAGATTACGTTTCACATAAAGATGTAGGGCAAAGGTAATGGAGGTGATTTTAAAAAGCAGATATCGCACCTTCAGTAATGTAATGAAGAAAGAAAGACAAAGGAAACTAATACAGACAGAGTACTCATTTCAGTTTTACAATTAAAAAGCCTCCAGATGATAGTGAGGATGAGAAAATCCTGTGTGTTTACATGTAACCCACCTGGAGAAAATATTTTTGCAGGGATCTGGGTATGCACAGGTACCAAACTCAGTGATCACCACACGCTTCTCTGTAATGGCTCTTACGTAGGCATCTGTTTTGATAAATCTGGTGTAACAAACAAAGAAATTTATCCGAAAACATAATACATCCATTTTGAAAACCAAAAATGTTTTATTGAAATTCATCGTCCAACATCTTGTAAACCTTCATTCTATCCCCAACTGGGGCTACCTATTGAATAAAGGTGTGATATTGACAAATAAATGAATACAGCCAAGTGTCTGCAGCAATGGGGTGGTGATGGTGCAGTGGATTAGACACATTCCTTAGGTGTGTGAGAGACCCAGATTCAATACCCCCACATCCACCAGTGTGTCCCTGAGCAAGACACTTAATCCCTAGTTGCTCCAGAGGTGTGCAGCCTCTTACATATATAGCAATTGTAAGTCGCTTTGGATAAAAGCGTCAGCTAAATAGTGGTCTTTAAGTTTTTCATCTCTGTAAATCAAAACCTAAACCCCTCACTCAGCACAAGAATGAAAAATCAGCTTGCAGCAAACTGTAACTTGCTTGAGTCCTATAAAAAAATACATTTAAACATACAACAACATAAAAACATAAGAAATGGAGACTTGACGTGCACACCTGCTTAATTTTCAAGTCTGCAGGTTGAATTTGCCATATGGCAGTAATGTAAATTATGCAAACAGAATGAAAAATGACCAACACTAGTATTGTCCTTAAGGTCTTACTTTCGGAAGTAGGTGACCTGGCCATTGTTGAAGTCGAATTTGTGCATGAGGGCCTGGCCATCAAAGAGGTGATAGAAAGGTTCATCTCCAACCTCAAAAAGCCCAGGTCCCAAACGGAGAAGACTTCCCTTCAGAAATGAAGGAATCCTACCTATGAAACACAATGAACACAATCAGAAATTGTTTTGAAGAGATATACGTTTCTGTGATCTCAGATAAAAAAGAAATGTGTGTAATCAGTATATGAATGCCAAAGATTTATTTGCCTGCGTGCGGTCTATTTCTGTCTGAAAAGAGAAAGCAAACCTGTGACAGTTGCTGGAACAGGCTCAGCCAGCTCCTCACATGTCTCAAAAATCTTCTTGTAGCCACCAGCTGGGTGTTCAAATCTGTTACCAAAATGTGAAGACATCAACCAGCAGTGCAGCCAAGTAAATTAAACCTAATGAAATTTACAGCAAGTGCATGCAGTTCATAGTTTAAGAGTTCGGCATGAACTTTTACATCCTTTAGTAGCTTAATCAGCTGCTCGATCAGCTGACCAATCAAGTCAGTGTGTTTTATTGTTTTTACACTTGTGAAAGCACTTTGTAACTGGTATAAATAAAAATGATTATGATTATGATTAAAAGTGACAGGATAAAGTTAAAGAAATGGCTATACAAGAGCTAAATAAAATTAGAGAGAAACTGGCAAATTATAAAACATTTTCTTATAATTCATCAGGAACTCACCGGCTGACCATGTTTCCTTCTTGTTGTTGCACCACAAGCAGCTGACTCTTAAGAAAACCTCTGGTCACTTCTGAACTGGAAGTCTCTGGTCTCCCAGTGGATTTGGGGTATTTATTCATCTAATCCCCCCCCACCGTCACTGCAGTCTGCGCTGTAAACCTTTCTCTTGGCCAATCATGTCGCACCGTGAACAAGAATCCCATTGTGTCAATATCCTCTGCTTGATGACTCAAAGGCCACCCCTCTAAAACCGGATTTAGTGCAGAGAATATTTATCAGAGAATTGGCAAATGTGTTGCAACAGTGCATGTGATTTGTATCAATTGATGTTGTGCTTTAAAATATAGAAGTTATGCTAAGTCATACTAAGTGCAGTATTTTTTAAAGTCTTGATACAATGTGTAGGGATATAAAACATCATGGAGCAAGTCAACAGAAGTGAATGTGGGATCCACATTAATAGGCAGTAAAAACTGACAGCCTTGCTTGTGCGTAAATTGCACACTTTCAGATTTAGTTAAAGAAAACAATAATACCACTTTAATGTGGGTTTTCTAAAATAACACAGTAATAGAATGGGGATCAGAATAACACCTATTATTAGGTGATCTTGAACAACATGGGAGTTACGCGCAGTGCTAATTGGACGAAATGTGGCCAGTTGTTCTTTCTGAACAAAAAAATGCCTCGGTGCAACTTTAATCCAGGTGTAGGGATTATACTCGACGTGGCCTGAAGACAAATGATGCATTGTTTCTCCTGGGAAAAAACACCATTAGTAGAGGGAGTTTCACCAGAAGCAGTTTTGTTGTGATGTGGCTCCCTTAGCTAACACGTGGACTGATTTTAATTAGCAAAATGCTATATTTTTATGACTATTTATCGAGAGAGAGAGAAAGGGTCAATGATTGAATACTATCCAGTGTTAATGACATTCAGGCAGTGTTCAGTCACCCCATAGGAGGATTTCTTTTTGCTGTTCAAGGGGACCAAACACATCCATGGAGGGAAGAAGATTTAGATTTTAAATCAGATGCCCAAATGTTTCCGCCAATTGTAACCAAATAGTGGAAAAACAATGAAAACAATGTATACCCAGTTTGACAAAGCAATCGCAACAGAAAGTACACTTACTAACTTTTGCTGGGACTTTCAACTATTTGACATGGTCCTCATTAGGTTGCTCAGTTGTCATGGAGTGAATGATGACTTATGGAGATCATTACAACTGCAGCTCTACAGATTAATCTCATGGACAGTTTAACAAACACTATCTGCTGAAAACAAAACTGTATGATGTGGTTGAAAGCTCCAGAAAGAGCTAGTGAGCAAATATTAAATTAATATTAAAAATATTCTTGGCTGACAAGTTTGTTTGGGTTTGTGTGATTTGAAATCCAAAGTGTGGGGATCTGGCTGTGCTTGAGCCATCATAAGAGGAAAAATAACCTGATTGAAATCCCAGGAAAAACTTCATAAGTGGACCTTGAGTTGGTTTGAGTATTTCCCTGGTCTAGAATAAAGTTATATTTATACAAAAACTAAAAATAGATACAATATATATAATGGATGGTACTGTGAGTTGTAGAATATTCTGTGGATTTGCAGAGGTTATCAGAAGAAAAGAATCCCACACACAAACATGAAAGGATAACCATAATCTAATACCTGTCCTAGATTATAACTGTATTCCAGCAGAGGGAGAAGAGAAATCCACATGTTATAGGTATGGCAAAGATAAGATGCTTTACCTTTTCCTTGCGACCTGTTGTGCCACATCCTTATCATGCAGAAAAGTGGAGGGAGACCTCTGTTGGTCATTGATTGCTTTTCAAAACTTTTCCTTTAAAATATCAGTGACTAATATTACGTCGATCGATGTGAAGCGAGGTAAAAAAAATAAATAACCTAATAACCTGTGATGTTTTTATAAAGATTTTAGTTTTTTTTTTCCTTTTTCCCTCAAAGCAAGAGTTTAACCATACGCATGCGCAGTTTATTCGGGAATTACAATATGGCGGCGAAATGCTTCAGTCTGTTGATGTAGTCGATAGCTAACACCTAGCCCGCTAATTACCTACAAAACAAGTTGATTTAATAACCAGCGGATACCCGTTATATTGTTTAATTTGAGTTGTTAACGGTAGTGTTGTTGTTGAAACATTTTGTAGCCTGGAAAATGAATTACACCACAAAGGTGGTCCAGGTGACCAATGTGTCGCCAAGCACAACATCGGAGCAGATGAGAACACTGTTCGGTTTTTTGGGAACCATCGAAGAACTGAAATTATTTCCACCAGAGTGAGTTGGCTAGCTGATGTTTTTACTAGTTTACTGTAATGGTAATGCAGCCACAGATTCGCTGCGTGGATACTTGATGTAGAACGGAAACGAAAGTAGGTTGATAATAGGCCCAACGTGCTAACCAGAATTGTAGCTAACAGTAATTTAATGACGTTAACGTTACGCCTAACTTTGCTAACAACCCACTGGTGTTATATTCAGCGTAATTTGTCTAATGAATATGATATATGCACGTACAAACTTTTCTTTAAATTGTTCTATAAGTGTAGCTAGTAATGAAGGTCAATTAAAATATTAAAGGCTTAAATGGGGCGTCCAATGATTGAAGTTACGTTGGGTTAATGAAACCATAAACTAGCATAGGCGTGGATAAGTTAGGAATGACGATATTAAGTCACAATGATGAGACTAGTCAATTTTGATCTATTTTTATCTACTATCACAGTTTTTGACTCAAATGTTTTGAATACGATTACTTCCATGAATGATAGGTCTGTTTATAATGTTTTGTATTAACGTTATTTGAAACATAGTGGAAAATGCCTGTCTGACCAAATGTCTGCAACCCAAATATATTAAATAGAGAACAGCAGCAGATGCTTAGATTTTATATGTCTAACGAGTTCTTAACAGCATTAATATTTATCATTTCATGGGGACAATTGGGAGCAGGGAAAGTGATGGGAAATTTTGTGTTTTGAGGTCCATGGTATGTATTTATTATTATTATGGCAGTATTGTGTGTTGGTAAACTGGTTTGAAAGATGTATGCCTTTGGACATTAAATAGTGCCAAATCCACCAACTCCCTGCATAACAAAGCACGTGGGTATAGTTGGACCACATTAAAAGTTTAGAATTTTGTGCAATTTAATATAATACCTTTTACTTTCACAATAGTGATTCTCAGATGCCGGTGACATCGCGGGTGTGCTTTGTGAAGTTCCAGGAGCCAGAGTCTGTTGGAGTGTCTCAACATCTGACTAACACTGTGTTTGTGGACAGGGCATTGATCGTGGTCCCATTTGCTGAAGGTTTGTCTCATCATTTTCATTCCTTGTATGAGTGGTACTTGTTGATTGAATGACATGACTCTTAAATAGTGAAAATGTAAAAGCCTTTTAAGATCATTTGAATGATACTGGTAATTCCATTCCTTCCCATTGTCTATGAAAAGTGTTTAAAGCATACCTGCTGTATATTGTCAGGTTTTTGGTATACTGTGGTAGCACATCCCATATGTGTTTTACCCCCACAATGACATTGTCTTGATAAACTGGCTTTTATTTCTTTGGGAAAACACACATCAAGCTGTTACACACAGCACAGTATACCAAAATCTGCTTTACAGATTGGGACATTCCCAAGCTGCGGGCACCGCAGACACCTCAAAGTTAAGAAGTGAAGTTGTGTAAACTCTTACCATATGCATTTTTTTTTCTCCCCCATATTGGACTATCCTCTGTTAAACTTCTCTCTGTTATTTGTGTGTGTGTATGTGTGTGTATGTGATTTTTGTAGTGAAGAAGGCAAAGGCAGCCCCCTCGTTGATGGCTGAAAGTGGTCCTCTGCCTGCCAACAGGGGATTATAGACAGTTGCAAAGGCCAGCAAGCATTCAAGTCCCACCCCACTCCTTTTGTGTCCTCTCTTCTTTCTCTGCCTTCTCTTTTTCTTTCCTTCTGTCTAATTTATCTATTCTAGGCAGTTTAGTTTAGTATAAAGGTCAGATTTTGAGCACATACCCTGAAACAGTGCCCATTTTCCATTATTTTGAACGCTGCTTAGCCATTCATTTTATGGCTAAAGCATTGTTCCTTAATGGATAAGGCTGGCAGTATTCATTTTTTATGTCAGCAAATCCCATGAAAGACCCTTGTGGTCTAAAAACTATTACAAGCACATTATTGAGCCGCACAGTTGCACTGGGTGACGTGTTTATTATGATGAATTCAGGACCCACCACACGCTCTGTACTGCAGCCATGAATAGTGACTAGCACACCAAATGTGTATTAATCCACCACTGAAAGTAGTCCCCACCAAGTGGACTATTTACTCCTGTTTGAGCAACTTTTGCTGAGAACTACAGTTCCCAGTTTAATGATATTATATATCCTTTCATGAAAAAAATGTAAATATATATAATTTTTTTTTCTTTTGGAAGATTTCAGTGGTAAACTACAGACAGTGTAAATATAAAGTCATAAAGCATCAAGAGTCAGACTACCACTGTGTTGGTTTCTGTTTTTTCATGGGATTTATTGACCGTGACCAAAAATGGAATATCACCAGCCTCAGGCAATAAAATGTGTAAACTAACTCTTGAAATAAAAAAAAGCTTTGAAAGGCAATCTCTATATTTGGGTCTGGTGGCAAAAGGCACAATGCCCCGGCAGCCAACACTGTACATACATACTTAACCATAAGCGAGCAGCTAATTTTGGGACTTAACAAAAAGAATACTGGTCAACTGGCTGGTTATTATCTTCTATAATAGTCATACTATATCTCATCATAAGTTGTCTTAAGATGCCCACCCGACATGACGTAATGTTGGTAAAATATACTCTCTTTAACAGTGGTCTTCTTCTTTTGTTGTTGTGTTTTACAGTTCTTTTTCCTGGCTCAGCCAGTCCTGTATACCAGGCCCTGCTGAAAATACCATCCAACAGTTTTGTCTCCTGCAGCAATTTCTCTCTTCAGTGTGCTGTTTTATTTAAATGTTGTTGTGTGTCTGTATGAAGGTCATGTCTTTTTGTGAAAGAGTTGTTTTGGGAGGTTTACTGTGAGATGATTATAAGGTGTTTATTTGTTAATTTGCGCCTCTTTACAAATAAAAACAGTGACATATTGCAAATGAAGATGATAAAATACATTTTTGATTAGACTCTGGTAGCGCAAAATAATCAAACCAGATATCCTCTGCTTAGGTTTGGTTAATTGATGCAGTAGCAGGTAAGGATACAAGAATAATGATGTAGAGCAGGAACGCTACCCACCCTGAATTCTGCTATTGTCATTTGGTAAATCTGACATTTGTGTTTTTGGTAAGTAGACACTGATAGCTTGTATAGTGTTCTTGCCAAATCCCTAAAATTCTCTCTGTTGTTTGTATCTCGATTTTTCTCTGTGTGCTTTTAGTAGCGAAGCCGCCAGCGTGAGTCGCTTGTTTCAGTAAACGTCTATATGAAAATTGAGGGCACACCCAACTGGAGAAGCAGCAGTGCTTGCTAACGTTTGGTTCATGACTTAAAAAACACGTTCAGGTGATATATTCTTGGCAGTGTTCATTGGAGTAGTGTGATATATTCCAGCAATAGTTATGTCACTGCAATGATTATGTTGAATTAAGGGAAAACTTCTGTGATCTATAAGGTAACCATTTTGTTGAACCTAATTTGAAGAAATGCAATGTGAAGATTTGTTTTCTTTGTCTTTTCCAAAATGTCTTCTCTGTTGTACACGTGTGTGTGTGTGTGTGAAGATGTCGTTCTCTCCTAATGTCAGTTTTTATTTTCATATAGGATCTATTCCAGATGAGGCTAAAGCTTTGTCACTGTTGGCGCCAGCAAACGCCGTTGCAGGAATTCTGCCAGGAGGAGGTCTTCTTCCGACGCCCAATCCCATGAATCAATCTGTAAGTCTTCAAATTCACTGGAAAAAATACTCACCTTACAAAAATCACTTCAGCAGTGGTTTGTGATGCATTTTACCAGAAAGTCATGCCCCAGGCGATTTTAAATCATATTTTCTGTTCCGCTGACAAAGAAGATTTGCTGTTGACATGCAGAAGCAGGGATGTTGTACCGCATCAAATTATGAGTTATACATAAACTGGCGTTAATTTACATGACGTAACAGTCTCACCTCAGAGTCCATTTGGTAGCTGTTCTGGACCTTCGTTTGCTCAGTTATCATGGAAATAACAGATGTTCTAGTTTGCATTTGTTGCATTTGTTTTGTACACTTTAAGCAGTTCTCGTCGGTGTAAAAGTTCCTTCTTAACCTTTGAAGCCGCAGTAGACAAAACAACTCGAAGTATTTTTTTTGGTTGTAATTTGAGTTTCTTCTTTTTAAAAATGAGAGCAAGGAGTCAGTTGTTTTCACATTTTAAAACTGTGGATGATGTCTTCTGTGTGAACATGATGCGTGGCCTCATCTGTCAAAATGTGGAAATATTCATATGAACACCCAGCATGAGTATAGGAACACTTGTAAGATGTCAAGCCACGATAGGCTAGTATAACAAAAGTGCCTTTTACACGCTTGTGTGTTTGTTTTTTTGCAGCTTGGAGGGAACCCTTTTGGTAATCCAAACATGGACGCAATGGCTGCATTTGGATTCGCAGGCCATAATATGAATCCCCAGGTGAGAGGTTTTCACGATTGACACTGACACGTAAATCTTTCCCAAAACTTGTGAAGTTAGATGCGGAGTATCTAAAACTTCTCCCCCCACCCCCCTGTTTCTTACAGGCTGCTGATCAGCTGTTAAAGTTCATGACAGATCCAAAGTAAGTCAGTATAACGAGGCTCCTTTGTCTTCTGAAAATTTTTCCTGAATGCAGTATTTAATTGCAGAGTAAAGAATTAGATGTGTTGGTGTGTTTCTAGTAATGATGAGTCAACTAATTCATATTGCTTTGTTTAGACTGAATCCACTGGCTGCAGGATTAAACCTGAATGCAAGCCTGAAGGCTGACGCATCTAATAGAGAAATCGAAGAGGCTATGAAGAGAGTGAGAGAGGCCCAGTCGCTCATTTCTGCTGCTATTGAACCTGGACGTAAGTACACAAATGTTTGGAGGACTTGACTTTGCAGAATAAAATTATTGCAGTATTAAGCAGTCATTCAGTCAGAAAAGGTCCTTTGTACACTGTACCCTGACAGTAGTAAGCAATTTCTCTTTTCTGCCCTGCAGATAAGGAGAGCAAGAAGAAACGAGCTCCATCGCGGACTAGATCCAGGTCCAGAAGGAGGCGGTCCAGATCACATTCAAGACACAGGTGATGACTACTGTTCATTAATCTGAAGAGCTGGGATTGAGAAGTGTTTTATTTTTAGTTTGAGGATAAAGTTAAATGGGTTAAATGTGGTTGCAGGCGAACCAGGAGCAGATCACCACGACCGTCAAACTCCAGAAGCAGGAGGCGCTCCAAAAGCCCACGAGGGAAACGCAACCACTCCAGAGAGCGAAACAGGCGATCTCAAAGTAGATCCAGGTGTGTTTACTGTGTAAATGCTTTATGACAATAATGGTTACAGATGTAATTGAGTCTGACTGAGATCTTCCATCAAATGTCTCCACAGAGATAGAAAGAAAGACGATTCAGGGAGAAGAAAATCCAAAACGCCACCTAAAAGCTACAGCACAGCCAGGAGGTCACGCAGCCAGAGTCGGTGAGTACAGCAAAGGTTTTCATGTGCTCAGGCAGAAGGCAATTGAAAGTATATACAAACTTTTATACCGCAGCCACCCAAACTTCGTTTACATTTCAGTATTAAAGTTGTCAGCTTTTTGTCCCGTTCACAGGAGACGCAGGAAAAGTCGAAGCGGCACCCGATCACCTAAAATCTCCCCTAAAAGGAGAAGCTCCAGGTCTCCATCTCCTCGAAGGTTGGTGTACTGATGTGAAATATACTGAGATAATACAAACAGGTTATTACTGCACGCCTATTTTAAGATTATTATAATTTAAAACAACGATTAAGGGTGTCTATCCCGTTTGCTTCGGTTAAAATGGACTCTGATGTGTTTGCTTCAGTTTGTTTAGGCTGATGGTTCAATTATACTAATTGGACCAGCTCTAAAAGGCAAAAATGTGGCATTTTTTCTTTGGACCAGGCCACATAAACAAAAAATCCTTTGTGTGGGTACATCGGGGGAAGTTTAAAACACACCTGACTTTCATCTCCCCCTTCTACAGACACAAAAAGGAAAAGAAAAGGGACAAGGAAAGGGACAGGGACCGCAAGAGTGACAAAGAGCGCATTCGTGAGGAACGTGAACGCTCCACCAGCAAGAAAAAGAAAAGCAAAGACAAAGAACGCGAGCGGGAGAGGAAATCAGACGGAGAGAAAGGAGATGTCAAGGTCTGTGTAGAATATGTGACAGTCTTCATTCTTACACACTATGAACATTGCAGTTGTGGTGTAGACCAGACTGGGGGTGCTTTAAAATGTCCCATCCATTGGTGTCCTTTCACAGATCACCAGAGATTATGATGAAGAAGAACAAGGCTACGACAGCGAGAAAGAGCGGGAGGACAGGAAGGATTCTGACGACTCTGCTTTGTCTCCTCATTCTGTAGAAGGTAACGGAACAGTGAAGCAGGCCAGAGTTAACGGAGCGGACGATCACCACGAAGAGGACATGGACGTCAGCGATTAAGCAGTCCGTCCCGCTTTGTCCCACACTATCCCTCCGTTTTGGTTGTGAACATGTTCTTATAATGTGAAGTGAGCGTGAAATGTGTAGAGTTTTCTCACAGAAGAGTCGTCTATTCTTTTTGCAAATGTACAATGCAGAATTTTCATTTTTTGCCTAGTTTGCCCAAAGACACTGTCAAATTGCTTTATAGGTACCCATATATATATATTTGGCTTCTACAAACGTAAGCAGTGAAAACTGGAAGTGGGCTTGCTTTGCTTTTTGAGCTTGTGTTGTCAGGTTTTGTCACTTCGCATATTTTATCTTTATCTTTTTCTTTAGTATTGTTAGGTGTTGCTCAGGCCTCTTTCCCCACCTTCTCAAAATAAGTTTGTGCGTTGGATTCTTGTTAGTTGAAAGTGTTGATCGTTTTATCAAGGATTTCTTTTATAATAAAGCCTATTTGGAGAACCAAGACTTTGAATTTAGTTCTGTATGGGTGGATGTCATTTACTTCAGGTAGGGTGGGGCTATATGCATAAAATCCATCATGGCATATGTCATTTTCTATTGAGATATCAGTGTCTCTGGATAAGACCAGACGTAAATGTCTGTTTTTGGCTAATCCGGTGAATGAAATTCCTGACAAAAGAACTTCCTCACACTGACGCAACAATCATAAAAATTCAATATTACGATAAAACACTCCTGCTCAGTGTTCTGCAACATTTCCCACAATCCCCTAATACTTAAGACACGGAAAGGATAGACATAGTGTGACAAAATGTACATTGGCCAAACCTAACCCCAGGAATTTGGAAGAAGGGGTGGGTTGATAGGGTTATAATCCTCAGTCTAATTAATTGGAAGTCACAATAACACATTAAAAAATATATATATTGAGAAATGGTTAATGGGCACAATAACCAGACGGGAGATCAAAGGATAGGTTGATTAACTGATGAGTCAGTTAACAAAATTAATCAACTATTTTTTAAAACTGAATTGTTTAAGGTCATTTTAAAGCAAAACATTTGATGAGTACTTTTAGTACTTAAATGAGTAACCTGATTATCATCGGATGTTGATCGGAGAAAATAAGACATTAAAAAGACTGATGTGTGATGGTTTACAAATTCACCCACCGCTTTTTTGGAAACCATATAGAAGACTAGACTTGCACAAAGTCAGTTGAAACATGATGCTGGTGCTTTATTTAAAGGGACGTGAAGTAGGTATGGTTGCATTACATATTAGCTGAAGCCAACTCAATGGATCAGATTATTTCCATCTGGACAGTTTTGGGATATTCAGCAATATCAACTTCACAGCTTAGTTCACTCTCCTTAGATTTGAAGAAAAAATAAATAAAAACTGCACAGACTACCATCAAGGAGAGATTTTATAAGCACTAAAAGGTGTTTAAAAAGTGTTAGTGTTACAAGTTTCAGTTTTTCCTTAATCTAACTACCAATAAGTCTGCAGGTAATGTAACAAACGCTCAGAGAATATATCTTAAAGATGCATGTGATCCAGTAGGCCAACACAGCCATAGCATGCCTTGAATATACTTAATATCAGTGCAGTATTAAACTACGAACAGTTTACCTGATATCCCATCTGGGTTCTCCCACACACAAACGTACATACAACAAAACCTTGATACAGTACAATTATTCACTCACACCGAGTACAGAATCCATACTATCACAGCATACATGGAGACAGCAGAGAGGTAACATGAGCGGACCTGAAAACACAGGAGACTGCGTCCTGCACAGGGGAAAAGGCTTGGATGTCAAACTGGTAAGAATGTATTTTTATGCGAAAAACCTTTCCCAGCTGGTTAAAAACATTCTCAAGTACTGGAAATGTATTGCAACACAGTGTTACTCCTTTGAGTATTTATATATGTATTTAGTATATAATTTATAAATGAATATTAAGCTCAGTTTTGAGGATATAGATATATTTGTGATTCTTTATGTTGTATGAATTACAGACGAGATGTGAATTATTTACAGATGACGGTGTCAGTGCAGTTTCAAGAATGAGAATTCAATTATCAGTCTTTGGAGGGTGGGGGGTGAAGAAGATATTAAAATAGTGACGATGAAGAGTCCAGGTTGTGTCTTCTGACAGCTTTCACAGGAGAGAACAGCAGCTTTAACTGCTCAGGTAGTGAACAGCAAGTACGATGAAAGCTACATTTCATGAAAACTGACTGCCGATATGCATCTATGTCTGAGATGGCGCTCTGCAACATCTGTTTGCATTGATTTGCTTTTGATCCACCAGCAAAATGAACAATAACTGATCAATTAGACCTGTCCCCCCCCGCCTTTTTTTTATAGTAAAAACAGATAATATTATAGCAACAAAATAATACAGTATTCCTCATATTTTTGTTTCCCACCTCCCAAACATATTAGCTCGCTGCTCATTTCCTGTCTGTGTCAGATGTGTTTACAGGTCAGAGGTCTGGGAAGCGACTGGGATCTTCTTTGTATTCTGACGGGATGCAGAAAATAGACTCCTCAAATTCATCATAGCGGAATTCCTGAAAGGTGACAGTTGCTGTGATCGTGGGGAAGACAGGGATGTCTGCAAGGGAGAAAACAACAGAAGAAGACAAGTTATTTTATGATCATTCCCCTCAAGCTCACCCACCCACAGGAACACAGTGGTAGGTCGACACACATACCAAGTTTGACTGGGAACCCAGGCGGAAGTTTCATCTGAACGAACTCCCGGAGTTTGTTGAAGTGCTTGAACGGGGCTATGACCTCCAACACATTTAGTAACCTGGGGGCAGAGGAAAACAAGTTTCCCAGTAGGTACAAACAACCTCCCAAAATCTGAGCAAGAACAAAAAAAGAGACTGAATCAAACTGCAGATCTTGAGTGAATAAAGAATCTTCGTGCAGGCTTCAGTCTGTTTCACCACTTGAACAAGACTATAAACATGTATAAAATAAGCATGGAATACAACAGTGATTTCCAACCTTTCTGGCTTGTAAGAATTTACATAGTTGAATTAGAATCGTCAAGTCCCTGCCTATAGTCGACTGATAGTCGAATCATGCGTGTCTTTTTGCACGCCGATTGCGGGGGGGAGGGGGGGGGTACACACGGTAGCTCCAATTTAAGCTGCAGTCTCTATTCATTCAACTTACACTGTAAATTTCCAGCTAAAGCTAAGCTTTTTCTCTCTATCTCTCTCTCTCGCCTGTCATTCACCGGTCTTGCTGTTTTGCATGCATTCCGTGCTGCCAACAACTGCCTACACGTCGTGGTTCCTCTCGGGTCTATTTCAAGTAGCCGGCTATATAAAAACAATAAAATATTCTTTGTGTGGTTAATCAACAGTGATAAATTACCCTGCGAGGTGCGGACAACTCGGCACAAGTGAAGCCGTGGGCTCCGTCTCTTCAGCAAGTGTTACCTCTTCTGCCACTACACACCTACACACTACGCCTACACATGCGCACTGACAACTCAGGGTTAAGGTTACAATTTTGGATTTATTCATGCACTTTATTTTTAAATAAAGTAAATCGAATCTTCGACTATTCGGGGTCAGTCCTAGTGGCTAGTGAGCTTTTAGTAAAAAATACTACTACTAGTCTACTAGTCTACTTCTTATCCCTTGTCACAGATTGCGTATGTCTAAGAGTTACAAGCAGTAATGTCCCCTGCTTAGATTTTCTTTCTTTTGAATAGATTTCACTGTTTTACAATAAAAAAAATATTAGAGAGAAGTCAGTAAACAGCATAGCAGTTCTGTGTCTGTCCTTAGGCACAGTATTGCTTTAAGCTGAATGCTCAAGTCAACATGCTAAGATGCTCACAGTGAAAATGCTAATATGCTGATGGTCTGCAGGCACCATGTTTACCCTCTTAGTTTAGTGTGTTAGCATGCCAATTTTTCTAATTAGCACTACAACAAAAAGTACAGCTGTGCATGTCACTAGTTTTTCCAGGTATATGGTCATAAATCAAAGTATTGGGCAAATTACAATGACCTTAAAGTGATGCATGCTGATTAGAAATTGTGGTTTTCGTGTCTTTCGCCGGCGCTGCAAAACGTCACCATGTTACATGACATAAAAACCTTGCGGGAGCAAGGCGGCTGCAGGTGCCAAGTCCGTCAGCCGCAGTTGCTTTTCTGTGGCAGCACAAAGCTGGAACCACATTCTTGCCTGGTTTTTGCAAAGAAAAATGCTGCGATCAATCATTGATCTCAGCTCACAGTAAGCTCAAGCAGGTAGAATGTGTCCGACTTGACGGCACCGTTTTTATTCCCCGCAGTCGCCTGCAGCTCACGTTAGACTATCAAGTCAGCCACAGTCATCTTGAACGCACCTATTAGAGGATAGAGGATACATCCTCTGGGGACCATGACTGCCAGTAAACAATTTCATGGCAATCCATTTAATAGTGGTAGGCTGATAGAGCAACACTGCAATGGCTGAAAAATAGTGTAGTGTAATCTTGCAACCCCTCGGATTTATCTTGTGGCCCCTTAGTGGGTCCCCAACCCCCGTTTGGAAACCACTGGAATAAATTAATAACTTGTATCCTGATATATCAGCTTGGACAGAAGTCCTCAGGGTCCAGACAAACACTGGTTTACTATCTTCACCAAGTAGTAAATTATAGTCACTCTACATCCCAGCTGTATTCTATAAAGAAATGGTTAGACTGAAAACTAGTGGGCAGAGGCTGAAAACCACCAGGATACAGCACAGTAAAATTTGACTTTTTCAAGACTTGAGATAATGTGATCTGCTGCTGTTGCAAAAATCTCTACAATCACTGGCTTCTTTTTGGCAATTAAAAATTTAGCAGCAAGTACAACAAACAACATTACAAAAGCACAGAATGTGAAGGGGGGGAATCACATAAAAAAAAATAAAAAAACATTAGCTATTAAGGGTGGGGTTTTATTGCTGGCTCCATTAAGGTTCATTCAGTAGAGGAGATAAATTTACTACATTATGTCCCAGTAATATTTTACAATACTGCCTGTAACCCATTACAGGCAGATACAAAACCACATCCTGTGTGAATCCCACATCTTTATCTTTATCCAGTAAAATTCCTCTTCTTCTCTATTAACCTTTCCCTTACATGATCATGAGTTCTTCAGACAAACTCACACCGTTCTTGGCTGCATAAAATCAAAACTTAGATTTCAAAAGTTACATAATTTTATGTTTCTTGCATTTAACAAAACAGGAAAATTTACAGCAATCACACTCAGGTTCAATTGCAGATTTACACTACAGTTTATCTTCTACAGCTAGACCGATAAATTAATCAGGTAGATACACTGGCCAATATTAGCTTATCGCTGATATATCAGTATCAAATAAATACCAATAACAAACTGTCAAAGAGTCAGTTTAATGTCATTTAGAAACAGTGTCTATTACGTGGTTTGTCTACCAGAGAGCACTGACAAGTTGAATTTTCATTTGTAAGACAGTTATTTAAAAGGGATTTGTTACGTGTTTTTGAATAAATATAAAAAAATTGGGCAACATATTCTTTAGTGCTGCAACCAACAATTATTTTCGTTGTCGATTAATCTGTCTTTTATTTTATGGATTCATCGATTTGTTCTTTGGTCCATAACATGTAAAAAACATGTGAAATATGTCGGTTAGTGTTTCCCAAAGTCCCAAATGTCTTGTCTTGTAAATAGTTGGCGATTAATTTAATAGTTGACAACTAATCGATTAATTGTTGTAACTCTATATTGTTATTGTTTTTTACAACTCTAAAATATTGTTTAGCTATATCAGCCTTAAGAACCCTGTTTAGGTCAGGCTCTAATGTCTACATTTCCAAATTTAACCAGAAATAAATGACACTAGCTTGCTGGTGCATGAAGCCATATTTTTGATTGATAGGAAATGAGAAAAAAAAAAAAAAAAGCATAGCTAACACGGCAGCCTAGTGGAGTTAAAAGATAATGTAGAACACTGACATTCTGTTGTCACATGGTGGAGCAGTTGATTTACAATCATCTCACCAGTGGCTCCCCCACACAATCAGGCTCATTTCTATACCACCCTTTTCTAAAATCCTAAGTGTATTCACCCGCGATCAATCTGTGCAGGAAGCTCTGTAAACACATCTAAAGGAGGAATGGATGTACATACGACTCGATCCCTAGAGGAAAATCCTGGCTCATGGCTACAGTTGCTTTGAAGTTCTTCTTGCTTTCCTTACACACAAGCTCTCTCCCAAGATGAGGGGGCCTGAAGGTGAGAAGAGACACAGAAACACACCAAGACGTTGTAACTGCCCTGGTAAAATATCTGCTCATTACAAAGACTGATGAAATGGTAGAATATAATGAGATGCTTACTTTCCGTGCTCTGCCGTGATGTACTCTTCCCAAGTAATTGTGTTGGGCGCTGGCGCTGTGAGGGACAGCCTTCTCACAGGCTGAGGACAAGAAAATATCAGTCAGTGGCATACTCGCAGTCCTCTGGGTAGCGTTACCATTAACTATTTGTAGATAAAGTCAGAACATTGAATTCTTTCTTTCTCACCTCAAAATTTTGTTCACTGATGCTGCCTCCTTTACTCAAGCTCTCCATGATGGCTTTGTTCCTCAAGATGTCCTCCTCACTTAGGTGTTCTCGCCGTTTCCGTGACTCTAACATCAGACCATTCACTGCATAGAAGTCAGCCAGGAAGTTTCCAACCCTCTCCTTTACAGAAAACAAGCAGACGTCGGTGTTGATTCACGAGTTAACCCAGCTGATTTCTTACAGTGTGACAAGGTGCAGCCTGATGGCGGGACTTTTCACTTACGCCCTTTGCAAGAAAACCTCTGTTGAAGTTTATAAAACCACTGATCAAAGTAATTAGGTACACAGGTCTTTCAGAATCATGGTGCAACAAAACATTTCAAACCTATGATGGATATATTATTTGCATTAGGGAACTCATAGACCATAGGTTCCCACCCGGGGGTTTTGGACCCTCCAAGGGGTCACGAGATAAACCTGAGGGGTTGGAGAGATGATTTACACATTAGCAAAAACAAAACATATATACAATAAAAAAAAATTCCTAAACTTTCTCTAATCTCTGATGGTTTCTTGCGAAATCTGGACACTTATACCTCTTCAGGGATAGGTAAAAGTATTCAAATCAAATAATCTTAGAGACACCTTTATGACCTGCTTACATGCAATGTTTTAATATATAACCCTTTATTAATGTTTCCCGCTGTTTGCCTTCATTTTAAATTCAACTATGCCTCAGTTTACATTTACATAAATCACACATTCAAAAAAAGAGCTCATGTGAATATATAAAACTTTTTTTTTTATTTCCACATTCTTCTTTTATGTTGTTGAACGTGTAATTTTAAGTTCTGCAACGTGTTAATAATGCTTTGTACCCCTTAAGCTTACCGTTTTATCTTCTCTGAACACCCAGCCAATCTGACTACGAGAGAAAGAGATGGACTTGGTGGACAGAGTTGCAGAGTAGACGTCACTGCTCATCAGAATATCCACCTCTTCTTCGGTCTCCATCTCTGACTCCTTGGAGGAGTACGACAATGACAGTCAGGCTTTTGCTATTCATTTTAAACCCGCTCATGACACAATGTTAAACGGAGGTCTGGTCCTCCCACTCACTCACCTCATGGTGTATTCTTTGGTACACTTTTGCTTCATTGTCCACAACCACAAAGGACTGGGAGGGTGTAGCCTCACCGTTAAAAATGAAGCTAAGATCGCCGCGCTGACACTTCATATCAGTGAAGTCTATGAGAGTGGTGTCAAGTCTAAATCAAAAGAGAGGAGAGGGAGGTGTATGAAGATTGTTACGCCCTACTTTCTTGATCTAAAAGAAGTGCTCGACCTGGTTATCAGCTATTTGCTGCTTTAAACACTGAATTACATTCTCTCATAGGTACAGGAACAGCCTTAACCTAATACTTGACATTTTACCTGATATTAATTCCCTGCTTATAGATTTTACAGGCATCAGATGGAAGCATTCGGGACAGCAAAGGCACTAAAACACAGAAGAGAGTGTGAATAAATTCAACTGACAACAGAAGAAAAACACTGATTTATCTTTAATAAAATCCCTCAGTAAAGCAACAAGCGAACCATCCAGCAGTAACTTGGAACAACTCAAAGCAAAGTGATTTTAAATTAAAGCTGGTCTTATCAATAATGCTGCTGTATCACTTGAGAGTATGACGTTATGAAAACTCACCCCAGCTCTGAAAGTCCCAATGCAGCTCCAGATAAAAGTCACCAAGCTACAGAGAAGATACAAATGTCTCATTAAAGAATTTAACGGATTTATTATATACTAATTAAAGGATTTAACTGATATATTATAATATCAGACGAAAAGTATAGTACAGCAGAGACTTCACGTTATGCATTTCTGCAATTAGTATGCATCCTCAGGAAATAGTCACTTATGCAAATCAAAGCCTGCTGAGATTTTGAAAATTCAAATGGCGTGAAAGTTCAGTGACGCAGAACAATAGCAGCTGCAAACTTCAGTTTGGCGTGGCAGCGGCATCTCAGGAAGTCAAGCCAGTGTGATCCTCACCTCCCTGAGAGCTCTCAGTAATTTTGGCCTCTTATCCTCCACACTCTCCCTGGACTGCTGCTTTAACTTCCGCAGTATTGCTGTGACTGAGGAAAGGATGAGAAGGAAAAGTTACACAAATGTACACCTGAAGGTCACCTGGAACACCCAAAAAGCATGAGGTTTAATTTTCTACATATCCTTTGAGTATAGCCACGCTAAAAAAAGAAACACCGTTACTGGCAGATCTTAGTTTATCACAGATATATTGGTATTAGGGCTGGGCCAGTAAACGATGCCATCGCCGATGGCTGCAGACATCACAATGTTGAGCCGTCATCGTGGTTGTATCTTTTCCCGGATTTTTTCCAACCACGATCCGTTTTCATTGCAGCAGGTGCGCTGCATGCCGGCTTGTTAATGACTTAACCTATCAAGGTTTTTGGCGCTAGCACTGAACCAGAGACCTTCTAGTTTCAAGCCACCTGTATAGCCATTTGTCCACTGCTCCACCAGAGTTTGTGAAATATACAGTTAAATGTAGGGCTGCATTGATAAATTCTTTAGTGTCAGAAAATATTGAAAAATGTTCATCAAATTTTCCTAGGTGTGCTGTGACGAGGCTCCCAGAGCTCTCTCACCAGAGACGAGCTCATGAACATCAGGGAAACACCACCAGCGGATTGATTTTCCACTTTTCTTGTGTCATGGGTGGAATAATTGGACATTTTGGTTAAAGTTCTCATCTTTGCTCATGCAGTGAAACACAGTGAATACAGTAAGCAGTGCCTATCACGCCGTCCCCCGTGTTGCTCTGGGACACAGTGACCACATCATGGTCCACCTCATTCCTGCATGCAGGCAGACATTACAGCAGTTCTTCAGATGTGCTTGGACTGTACTGACTGGGATGTTTTAAGGACTGCTACTAACAGGATGAGTACACAGAGGGTGTTGATGTCCTACATCAGCTTCTGTGGGGACAGCTGTGTACCATCACACACCAGGGTGAGTTGGAGTGAAAACAAGGCCAGGTTTAGGGAGTCAAATTACAGGTTTAGCACGGCGGGGAGAGAAGCTAAATTACTGTACTTCAACACTAGTTCTCTGCCAACAAGTCTGCTTCTATAGGGGGCGCAGGTCACCAACTAACCCCCCCAAAATCCACTAACGATCTACAACTGGCCAACGAAATAAATGAGTTCAACTGTCGCTTTGAAAGACAATGACACAGTTCTGACATCACCCCCCTGTGACTCCATCGACCAGCTCCACCTCAGCAAGGGCATTGGCCCTTCAACAACTGCCCACCCCAGAGGCTCCCCTCTCCCATACTGCAACGACGACTCTCTCCATCCTGGAGAGGAATGTCAACAAATTGTTTAGGAGGCAGAACCCCCGCAAAGAAGCTGGGCCAGACTCTGTCTTCCCATCCACCCTGAAGCACTGTGCCGATCAGCTGTCTCCAGTGTTCATCTTTAAAACCTCACTGTAGACATGCCATGTGCCAGCCTGCTTTAAATCCTCCACCATCATCCCTGTCCCCAAAAAACAAGGACCACAGCACTTAACGACTACAGACCTGTCACCCTGACCTCTGTGGTCATTAAGTCATTTGAGCGCCTTGTGCTGTCCCACCTGGAAACCATTACAGACCCACTCCTGGATCCCTTGCAGTTTGTCTACAAAGCAAACAGGTCTGTAGATGATGCCTTCACATCTCAGGAACCGATGCCTGGATCCTGGTTGTGGATTTTAAGCGCTGCCTTTAACACCATCATCTGGCAGTGCTGGAGGACAAGCTCTCCCATCTGAGTGTGCCTGAGGAAGTCTGTGATCCAGTCAACACTGTGGAGTCACATAGGAAGTCCTGCGACAGTGGAGGAAGTTTAACCTGCTGAAGACAATTATGGTGCACTTCTGCACCTCCATCACAGAGTCCATCCTCACCTCCTCCATCACCATCTCGACCCTGCTTCCACTGCCAAGGACAATGGCAGACTGCAGCCTATCATTCACTCGGAAGAGAAGGTAATTGACTGCAATATACCATCTCTACAATTGGACTCATCAGGACAACCACTGACACTGACTCTCATAACCCCAACCCCCATTATTCTTTTACATTTTTTATATATTATTGGATATTTTACAATTTTATATTTATGATTCTTGACCTGCAGTACTTGCTTTATCTTTCTAATATTTTCTACCTACTATGTTTACTGTTATGCACCAAAATACCATATGAAATTCTATGCATGTGTAAACCTTCATGACAATAAAGCGGATTCTGATTCTCTTGCTTCGCTCAGGCAGCTCATCATTGCACACACAGGCAAACAGTGAGCGAGCTGCTGACACAATGTGCGCATGTGTAAAAGCAAAAGGTGATGACTGATGACAAGACTGCAGTATTTCATGAAAAGCTGTAACCCACGCATTTGATACTAAGCACCCATTATTGTCTATTTGGCCCTCTCACTAAGTGATAGCCAGCTGTGTGCTGCATGTTGTTGAACCCTATGATCTAAATACCCCATGCCTTGCTTTCTTTGCATGTCCTTGCTGATGGTGTGAATGTACCCAGCCCCCTCTCTGCCTCCCCATCACCCTTGAGAGTGATGTGACCTTCTCAAAGCAAAACTCCTGGTCCCAGTCCCAAGCCAGCTTGCCACAGCAGGCACAAAGAGTCGGGACGCATACTAACAAGGATGAGGGTCATTCCTCAAACTACTGGGCCTCACAACCTCCATCACAGGCTGTATAAGAAGTGAATGCTGATCATTCACAGTTGGGTTATCTTTACAGCCAAACAGAAATTTTGTCAGCTCAGCTTTATCACAGAAACGGAGATAAATCATTTAGTATACAGCCCCTTTACTGGACACTTAGCCTGGCCTTTATCTTTTATATTTAGTTCGGTATGCAACATTAGCACCGTACCTAAAAAAGGACAGAGCAATGAATTCATCCGAAAGGCATTAGTTGGTGCCTTTCACATGTCATTTGACTCTTCTTCACTGGATGGCAGATCTAAAAGCAGTAGCCTCATTAAGCAGGGGAGTGACCAGGCTGTAAGCTCAGGGTTTGCTAACACTAAGCCGTCGTTCAGGCTGCGTTCCAGCCCATCTGGATGACGAGGGCTCAGAGAAAATCCCCTCGTTTAGCTTTTTAGCTAAACAGCCGTATAGCAGTTGCCATCTTTAAACAATTAAATGATTCATAAAAGGTCCATTGAACACTCACATATATGATGTGCTCTCCAACAATATTTGCTTTTTTCCACAATTTGTAAAAAACTAAGATGACGATATTTGTTAATGATGTACACATTGTTAACCAGAATATGGAAGTAGTAATCTTGACATGTTCTTTGCAACTTGAATGGACTGATGAAGAATGTGAAAAATTCTGCCCAAAACCCACAGATGCCAAGCTTGTACAGAGGTATCAGAGAAGACTCTAAACCGTTCACACTGCCAGAATGTTTCTGCACGGACTATGGAGATTTAATTTACAATAAGATTTTGTATTGTATTGTTATGATATAGCAGTCATGCAGAAAGCCATTCCAGATGTCAGAATGACTAACCAACAAATAGTGACTAGAGTTGACATCATGACGCTGTTATAAATCTATAGACCCATCATACGGGGGAGTTATAAATGTTAGTGTATGACTGCAGGTACACCATAAGATTATCATAAACACACCCAAATACAAAAACTCTGTGGCAGCAGACAGCTATTCAGTGCAGTGTTTATATAACTTACTCATTTGCCTGTCGCCGTAGCTGATGGCTTCTGCTAGAGGGCTCCATCCCTGTGCATTCTTTATTTTTACAGGAGCGTTATGGGCCAGGAGTAGGAGGGCACATTCTGAAAGGAAAACACAAAATATTAACATGGAGACAAATGTAATTATGTGTACATTATTGTCATTTCTGTGTATTGTCACCATTCCTTCTATGTTGTTTTGAGCAGTCGTGTGGAATACAAAAGTTAAATGTTAAGATTTTAAGATCTACTCATTTTTGACTCGTTATGCATATTTTTCTGTACATTCAGATCATTCATCAAGGCCAGCATCAACAATAACATCAGCAACTACTACTTCTGTACTGGAAGAGGGATCCCTCTTCTGTTGTACTATTTCTCACACTTTTCCCTGCTAAAGTGTTTGGTATCCAAATTGAGGGCTTAATGATAGAGGGTGTAAAGCACTGTTAGGCAAAATAGTGAATTAGGGTTATATATAATTGACTTGACTATTCTGCACTGCAAAACCAAGTATTGCTGTCCTTAAATAAATAAACTGGCAGCATTGCATGCAAACAGTAATCTATGTGGATTTTCTAAGCCTAACTACTATGTTATACCAACAGTGTGTTATCACATCACTACAGAGGTCAGAGAGTATGGAGGCTACTCCAAAAAAAGTAAGGAGAACTGAAGTGCTTTAAAAAGGGCCTTTAATGAGGTGATAAAGTGACATTGTGACAGATGCAAGGTCATGGAGCACAGCAGATTTACTGTAATATCTGGGCTCAAACTGAGGTAGATTACCCACTGAGAAACTTTTTGTTCATTGTGGTTAATCCTGTGTTATGACAATAGGCTGTTAAGATTAAATAACGAGGTCAATACATTTTTATAATGCTTATCAGCTTTACCTTTGTGGCCCAGCATCACAGCCAGGTGAAGAGGTGTGTTCCCTGAAAGAGAGGCATTTTAGATAATCTCCATACATAGAAATATTAATACTGATCAGTAATTCCACCTGTGATCAGAGATACCTGTTATATAATGCATTTTAACTAATTGCTTAAAAGACAAATAGGTAAAAGTTTACCATGTACATCTTTCTGGGAGATGCTATGGGTCCTGATGAGAGATGAGAGCCGCCGCACATCTGCCTTGAACACGCACTCGTGAACAGGAAAGTCCAAGTCCTCATTTGTCAGGATAATTGGGTTCTTGTTGTTATCATTAACAATGGTGCCAATTGAGGATGAATTGCCGTTAATGTTGTTTGCGTTGAGCTGCTGTTGCTGCTGCAGTACCGAGGTTTTGACAGATTTCTGAAAAGCCTTGTTGGATTTGAGATGGTTACCGGTTTCGTTAGGGATAGTCTCCTTTGACGTTTCATCGTAGGTTTCCATTATCTCCTCATTTTTGTTTGGTTTGTTGTGGTCCTTTCGCATGGTGCGTATCTTCTCACCAGTCATGATGACTAACGTTACCGTACGTTACCAGGCTAACTAATTAATTTACTGGTCTACAGGCTGGTGAAGATGTGGCAGAAAACAGGGACTAGTCAGCATTAGCAATATCTGCAAATATAATTTCAAATTAGCTTCTTAGTAATAGTAGCCAATCGCGACGCTTTCTCGTAGCTGGCTTCTCTCTGATTCCAATAACGCTACCTGCTGTCCAGCTCCAAACGCAAACATTAGCTAGCTGTTAGCCCACAACAAAAAATTAATATAGTGGGTGCGGCGATGAAAACAGAAAATAATATTAAACATAACAGAACACGCACGCACTAAATTAACATACACCTAAGAATATAAACGAATATAAAACGACTACATTATTGTGTCGTCTGCCGCTCCTTGGATACACGTTTCACAATTGTACCGATTCAGTTTGCTTTGCGGCAAAATCCAGGTGGACAGGGGGAATAGCCTGCTGAGCTAACATCTCTGATAGCTTGCTACCAGCAACACATCTCGCGAGATTTCTTTACAACCCACAGTTTGAGCGCGAGTTCATGCAGGGTACGTCATCTTCATGAGACGCACTTTTACGTCATTGCAAGCAAATAGCTAGCTAGCAAGCTGCGTTGTTTTGAAGAATGGCAACTTCTAAGAAAGGGAAGAAAGTTGTAAATCAGGAGGAACTCCGGCGCCTTATGAGGGAAAAACAAAGACAAACAACAGACAAGAAGCGCGTTGAGTCTCCTTTTGCTAAATACAACAGTCTCGGGCACCTCAGCTGCGTCCTGTGCAATGTGCAGGTGAAGTCCGAGCTACTGTGGCCAGCTCATGTTCTTGGAAAACAGCACAAAGAGAAAGTTGCCGAGCTGAAGGGAGGAAAGAGTCCGGCAGTCGCACCACAGAGTCAACCAGTGAAGAGGAAAGTACAAGACAACGCGGAAGTTAACGGGAAAAAAGCGAAACCCTCGTCAGGAGCAGGCCAGTCTGGATCAGGGCTGCCAGGAGATTTCTTCGAGAAACCCAGTGAAAAGGAAACTGTTTCTACTCAAAAGTCTGCAGGTCTGAGTCTGTTGGCTGGAGTTTACATAGAGGACGACGACGATGATGATGAAGAAGGCGCTAAAGAGGCAGGTCAGTCAGGAACCACAATCCTCCCTCCTGAAAAGGCTGAAGCTGCAGGACTACCAGCTGATTTCTTTGACAGCTCCATCCCACCCACACCTGCCATTTCCCATTCAGGATCCATCCTCAAAGCAGACGTGCAGGAGAAAAGCACAGAAAAGAAAGATAACACAGCCGAGGCCCTGCCGGAGGGCTTCTTCGACGATCCTGTAAGAGATGCCAAAGTGCGCAACGTCGACGCACCCAAAGATCAAATGGACAAGGAGTGGGAAGAGTTTCAAAAGGAGATACGGCAGGTGAACACAAAATCAGAGGCCATCGTGGCGGAGGACGACGAGGAGGGGCGGCTTGAGCGCCAGATTGACGAAATCGATGAACAAATTGAGTGTTACAAAAGGGTGGAAGTTCTGAGAGACAAGCGGGACGTGGTGGTGAAGAGCAAGCCTCTTGCCAGAAAGGATGAACTTATGGAGACAGATGCTAACGGGGAAGAAGAGGAGGAGGATGAAGAAGAGCTGCTGGGGCTTTTGTCCCGGGACTGGAGGGCTAAAGGGGCACTAGCCTAAGTTGCTCTAGAGCTCGTGTAAACGTGAGATAGAGGCCAGACCCAAAGTTTGTCCAGAATGCTGATAACACTGGTCTTGGAGGGATTGTTCGTGTACAAATCTGTCAACAATTGTAAATATGTTCGTTAAAATACTGTCACCACATCGGTGTTTCAAAATGAGATCAATGTCATGTGCAACATTCTTGTAAAACACTGTTTATACACTGTGCTGTCTCAGTTCACGACTTAAAACACCAGATGGACCACAATCAAACCTTTTAACTGTTTATTCATTGATGCTCACACAAAAACATTCATAAAATCTCCCATGTACAGTAGCAGCATGGATGCAAAAATCTGTCATGATGGCCAAAGCTGTTGTTTGAGCTCAACTAACTATTGTCCTGCAGAAAAACAAGTAGTCTGCTTGCTATGTTACATTTATAAATAATTTGTTCATGTTACATTATAAGCAACATGCAAAGCACAACAGAATTATTTAAAAGATGTACACTGTTGAGGTTAAGACTATAAAGCAAACCCGAACTCCTTTACAACATGTGTTGAATACATTTAAACCATTTTTACAGTATACAACAATGTTTGAGTATGACAAATTTATGTAAATACACCATTATTAGGCCCATAAAATGGAATAAAATAAATCAAGTAAAGAGTGAGTCAGTGCGTATGCTACCTGTTACACATTGTGAGCTAGGTGTGCCTTCTGTCTGCTGCAACTCTAAACAAGCAATATCTATGTCACTTTGTTATTGCTACATATGCCTCATAATTTACTACTTCAAATATCTTTCTGAATGATTCAGTGTTCATAGCCCTTCAAAACTTGTAGAACTGAAAGCTGCAAAAAAATACAGATAAATATACAGATGAACTAAAAACCAATCCCAATGAAAATGGAGCAACTAATTGAAGATGAGAACAAAAAACACACTGAACAGAAAGAAATCTGAATTTAAGTTAAGAAAAGAGCATTATGTAAATCCCCACTCTTATGCTCAGTTGTTTCTCAGTTAAGTTAGGAATCGGTCTAAAAACAAAACAAAAGACTGAAATCAGTTTCTAGTAGTCATTTGTAAACATTCATTAAATTCTATCTCGGGTTCTATAAATAAGGTTCAGGTGAGTTGCAACAGGTGTTTGTCTAGATGGGTGGGGACATCTGCAATAGACTGACAAGTACAGCCACCAGAGAAGCTAAATACAAAAAAAACGTTACATCAAGATGACACCGATCAGTTGAAATAATATATATTGTTTTAAAACAGGTGCAGGAAAACAGCAACTGAGAGAATTGAGGGTGGAAAACGGGATTCAAAATTATTCACAACACTTATTTTCATGATTTATTTCATATAAACCATGGGATTTTCTAAAATAAGAGCTGAATATTCTGCATACAGAACTCCTATAGATTAATTTTAAAATGTAAGCGTACGTTTTGTGGACGAGGTTGTGTCAAAATGGACTGGGCAGAGGGAGTGAGTATGGGGGGCATGCCAGCGCCATTGTTCCACAATCAGTATGATAAATATTCAGTTCACAAAAGTGCAGCGATTACAGAAAAGGGCCGGGATCTCCGAACCCCCAGGGTAGTCAATACTGTTCACTGCTGTCAGTGATAATGTGATCACAAACCTACAGCAGCTCTCAGCTCCATCAGGGAGTACCTCTGGTCCCCGTCATTGTCAAAACACTCCATGGTACGAGCACTGGGAGTTGATGTTCCAAATACTTTACTCAGGGCATAGTAGGTCAATCCAAGTGAATTACGTCCAATGCCTGCCTGCTGGAAGATGTCTTCCAAATCTGTAAATAGAACAGTTTGATTCAGAAACATGCAAACGCAGGTTTGTCTTTGAGGGCACTTTGCAAAACTGAAAATATCCTTACTATTTACAATATAATTTATAGCATTTAAATGGTATATATTATGCTAATTTTCAGGTTCCATAATTTCATTTAGAGAGTAGAGTAGGGCAGGGCTATAGCTCACAGTGCTTTTCCACCCATGTTTTTGAGGGCGTGCCACACTAACTGCTAGGCGAGCATTATGATGCGTGTTACAAAGTTACACAGACAGGTTAAAGGCTGGACTACAAAGAAGCTGTTTGCAGGCAGTTTAGGAGCAGTGTTTTCTGTGGTAGAGGGTAACGCCCTTTAGGATGGACTTTGGGGGTTTTCACTTTGCAAACCTATTACTTTGCAAACCTATTACATGCACAAAAACAATATATAACACAATAAATCAAGTGGAAAAAGCCTAAAAGCAAAATACTACCTCTTTCAAGTAATAGTTCGACATCTTTGGAAATACCCTTATTTGTTTTCTTGCCGAGAGACTGATGCCGCTTTCATGTCTGTCCGTTAAATATGAAGCTACAGTATGTCAACCTAAGCTGTTGGCTAGGCGTGACATACTTGAAATGGGTGATAACAACTAGCCTGGCTCTGCAAAGGTAAAAAAATCCTCTACCAGCAGCTCAAAAGCACACTAATGAAAATGTTATAACTCATTTGTTCATCCTTACAAGAAAATGAAGTGTACACAAAACAAGTTAAGGTTTTACGGTGTGTTGTGGGTGTATTTCTTGGCTTGGAATAGTAACTTGCTGAAGTCTTGTCTTAACTGTGTGAAGTGGAGACTTCATATAGTATAGCCTTATGTTTACTGGACAGACACGAGAGTGGTTTTAAACTATTTTTGGATTTGGAAAGAAAGCAAATATGTGTATTTTCTAAAATGATACAAAGCTTTAGAGTGGTAGTGTGCACCTTTCAGAGAATTGACACCAGGCAGGAACACCTTTGGGCATGTTATGTCAGCATTTCTCTTAGAGCGGTTTGACGTTGAGAAGCGTGGACGTCTGTTTTTCTGAGGCTCTGTCAGTGGTGTGGCTCTCTCTGTGAAAATAAGAGAAGAAATATTAAATATGTAACATAAGGCAAAGAAAACCACTGTAATAAACTGCTCTGTACCTTGCAAATCACCAGGAGATACTTTGGTTGTCATAGCTTCGTTCACCGTCTCAGTAGCTGGACTTTCACTGGTGATTGGCAGTGGAGTTGCTGCCTCGTTGTCCTTTGACTGTAGAACAGATGGAAGATGAAATGTGAAATGCATTAAGTTGTTGTTTACTCTCATATTTAAACTGGCCTTTGTCTCGCTGTGTGCAATCTGTGTTTTAAGGTCCGTTGTTTTTACAATGTTGCTTCTATTTTATTGTTCTATTTTTTTAATATTTTTCTCTTGTAAAGCACTTTGTGACTTTGGTCTGTGAAAAGTGCTATATTAAAGCAACCTTACTTACTTACTTCTGCAGTTGCTTGTGGGTTACAAATATGCTGACCACAATGCCACAAAGGCTCAACTCTTAAAATGCAGAAATAAAGTGTGAAGCTCCATATTACTCACGCTTTCCTTTGACCGGTTCTCTAATGACGACACTCTCTGGTGAAGATCTGCAACTGTAGAGAGGAGAATGTGGATCTGCTCATCAGCCTGTGTATGGTGCAGCTCCTCTGTCTTGTTAGCCTCATTCATTGCTTTTCTCAGGTCTGTTATGTCCTATGACAAAAAAACAACAACCCGCAGTTTACTGTTACATGATGTTTCTCATGGGCGTCCAATTTCGAAACCAAAAGGACATCAGTCGTGATTTCTATAGGTTCATATCAGATCAGGTTATGCGTCCTGGGAGGTTAGGCAGGTCGACAGAGACTAAGAGTGTTGGTCAAAATCCAAAATTATAAGACTAAGGAGATCTCAGCCAGCTAGCACTTCATCACTGACCACATCATTATTGAGGCCACTGTATAATAATTATATAAAAGTGTAATCATTTCCCGATCCTCTTTTCCCCGTCCTACTTTTCTTACAAAAAATATAGTGGAGGAAATATTCTGCAGTTGTCTCAGATATCCGACCTAGTTTTACTCAGTGAACTGAAGCATCTAAGCTCCCAAAATAGATTGGCACGTGTTTCATGTATTATGAATGAAAACCCAATGCGTGGATCCAAGAAATGACAGGACCTTCTTAACCCAACGACTCCTTTCAATGTAAGCCTGACAGGAACTGGAAAAACATCCATGCGTGCGTGGGTAAACAAATAAAACAAATTAATCGGGCAGTGGCAAAGCTCGCCACAGCTTCGGGTTTGGATTCCTGCCACAGCTAAGCAGATCAGCCGGCATTTCATCAACAGACTCATCTTGGCCATATGGAATTAGATTTGCCTCAATTCTGAGTGAGACAAATATGCACAAGCACCACTACAACTAGGAGCTGAGAAGTAGTACATTAAATAACGATGTGCCAACTTATTTAAGTAATTCACTGTTAACTCTCCATACATTCATATATAAATAATAAATGAGAAAAGCAGCCTCCAGTAATGTTTGCAGCGAGTGTAGAGATGTAAAAAAAGAACAACAAGTGAAATCCAACTTTGACTTCAACTTATAAAAAAATCCATTGCCCCTGTGAAATACTGGAGCTAACAGGAGTATCAGATTCTTCTGTGATGTTTGTCAGCTGCCCAAAACACTGTATTGACATTTCAGTAAAATACAGTTTAAAAAATCATTGTGAAAGGTAAGGCTATTCTCGCTGAATATTCTGCCTCTCACTGCAAACATTTATCATCGCAGTAAACAGAAGTCACAACTGCTGATTCATTCTGAGATATAAGTGGATGATTGACACACAAACTTCATGTGAAAAAAGGTTCCTTATACATCAGTTACAAAAATAAAAGCTTAACACTAAGCCAAAACATAATAATACATATAAACAATGTTATATCTAAATAAAAAGGAGGAAAGATGAAAGCCTACACCGTAATCTCAAAATAAACATGGAGCTGCATATCTGACCACGTTGTTATACCCACAGTACATCGTTAATTTACCATTTTCTTCTTGAAGTCGTCATCTTTTTTCTCATTTTCAAGAGCAGCCTGCATAGTCTTCACATCGTGCTGTACACTTGTTAGTGTGCTGCCAATTGTAGCAACACTCTGGAAAAGAGAAATACTCTGCAAGGTCAGTTTTGAAACCAACATTTGAATATTAATAGATAGATTCTCAACCAAATTTCTCTTGTAATTCCATCTTGCTTTGCCCTTTACCTTTTGAAGATCTTCAACCGTGGTGGGAAGGCTGATTAAATCAGCCGCTGATTTCAAGTTGGCCTTTAAATGGTTTACTGCAGATTCCAGCAAACTGATCTGCAGGAGTAAAATGACCCAAGACCTTTAGTTACAACTCTCAGACAGAATTACCAATTTTTTTTCCCCTGTTTGGTTGTCACGCACAGTCAGTCATTTTAAAAGAATATTGCCATTCTACACTGACAAACAGTGAGTAAAAATACTACATACTCAAACTATTCCAGTGTAAACTCCAGTACTGGTTTTGTAGCAACACCGAGAAAATTGCACGTTTGCTCAACTTGTACTTGTAATTGTACTTGTAACCTGAGATGAAAAGAACTGACCTTTCTGTTCATTTCTGTTAGGTTAGACCAGAGCTTGCTCAACCCTTTGTCCCCGTTTTCAATGTCGTCAAGCTTTCGCTCCTTGTTTTTAAGGTCCTCGCTTAGTTTGGGTATTTCACTTGACGACACCTTCTGGCTGGATTCCACTGTTACAAAAACATTATACAGTCTGTTGACAGCTGTGTTAAAAACAAAATAACAAACAACTGTCTAACTGAGATATAACAGGTTTAAGTGTGCTTTTTAGGACCATCCCAAGGTAACTGTGTGTATGTGTGAGAGAGCGTGACAGTGAGTCTTACTGCTATGCAGCTTCTCTTTCAGTGTGTCTAGATCTTCTTTCAGAGCAATCTGCATCCATATGAGTCCAGCACAGGCCATAACGCAGGCAGCTAGTATGATGAACAAAAACAAGGGGTAGCACACATTGCAGCACTGTGTGTAGCTTCTTCTGTAAAGAGAAGAACCGCAGTAATGTTAGACATTATAACTGAACAGCCTCTTCCATTATTAATGAAAGAGATATTTTCAGAAGTCTGTGTGCTGTGTCATGGGAATTATGAGGATTACGTATAAATACTGGCGCTTCAACATATGGGCTGCTACACACTTATTTCACCACATCATACTCATGCTTAATGTAGTGCTGCTTATTCGGCTGAATTTGGCAGATATCAAGCTTCAGAAAAACGCTTGCCTATCTTCTTAGTGTGCAAGACGTGTCAGACAGGCTTTGCTTTAATCTGAGCACAGAAGAAGAGCAAGCTGATTGATTTGGCAATATTTCTATTTTATTCTTAGTATGTACTCTCGGGTCAAGGTGCTGACAACCTAATGATCTATAAGTTAAATTAAATAGTAATAACCCACAAAGAAAAAAATAAACAGTCCATTTTTTCCAAGATACTGGTTTATGTGGAGTGGCTGTTGTCAAAACCAATTGTTTCAACTATTTGATTTAACTACTTTACATTGGGTGCTTTTATTGTGAAGTGTAACTTTATTATTTTAAATGGCTTGCGTGAACCCACCCACTAAGAAACCTGGTTTAGATCCCTCCCTCCCACAAAATTTTAGACCAATTTCAAAACTGCCTTTTATTGCAAAGATTTTAGAAAGAATTGTGTCCAAACAGTTGCTCACTGTACTGGAAAATAACAAAATATTTGAACAGTTTCAATCTGGTTTCAGGAAGTACCACAGCACTGAGACTGCCCTGCTTAAAGTCACCAATGACCTTTTAATGTCTGCTGATGAAGGTCTGTGCTCAGTCCTGGTACTCCTGGACCTTAGCGCTGCTTTTGACACCATTGATCACAACATCATGTTAGACAGACTGAGGTGCTGGGTGGGAATCTCTGGTACTGCCCTAGAATGGTTTTCATCCTACCTGTCAAATAGGAAGTTTTGCGTGTCTGTAAACAACTATGTCTCTTCGTTCTGTCCAGTTAAATATGGTGTGCCTCAGGGGTCGGTCTTAGGACCCATTTTGTTTTCCTCGTCTCTGCTTTCCCTTGGACATATTATCCATAAACATGGCATTTCTTTTCATATTTATGCTGATGACACACAAATATACTTGCCCGTCAGATCCACAGACCCTGGAATGCTGAGTTCACTTAACAACTGCCTTTGTGAAGTTAAAAAATGGACGTCAAACAAAACAGAAATCCTGGTCATTGGGTCCCAGCAGATGGCAAAACAAATACTGCCATCTGCTGGTTCCCTAGTAAATCACATTAAGCCTGTGGCAAAGAACCTTGGTGTCTGGTTTGATAGTAATTTAAATTTCGAGCAGCACACCACAAAGCTTGTTCAATCATGTTTTTATCAACATAGAAATATAGCAAAAGTTCGATCTATGTTAACTTTTAGGGACACCGAGACCATTTTACACGCCTTCATCTCATCACGCCTGGATTATTGCAACAGCCTTTTCACCTGTTTAACCCAAAAATCTATTGATCGACTCCAGACTGTCCAGAACTCGGCTGCCAGGCTTTTAACCAGAACAAAGAAATATGACCACATTACTCCTATTTTAGCTTCATTACACTGGCTCCCAGTATGTTTTAGAATTGACTTTAAAATTCTATTGATCACTTTTAAAGCTCGTCATGGCCTCTCGCCTTGTTATATTTCTGACCTTTTAGTCCCATACCCACCAGCACGTACCTTGAGATCCTCGGGCAGAGGTCTGTTGTCTGTTCCAGAGTCTCGACTGAAAACTAAAGGGGACAGAGCGTTTGCTGTCAGGGCCCCGAGGCTCTGGAACAGCCTGCTGAGTCAGTGAACTCTTTTAAGTCCCTTCTTAAAACATACTTTTATAGGAGAGCCTTTCCCGATCTTATGACTTTATTTTATCCCTTTTATTTTATTCTATTTACTATATATTTACTAATTTTATATTTATCTTAAACGTGTATTTTAGTCTTTTCTTTATCTTGTATTGTTCTTGGGGTATTATTGTCTTTACACTTGTTAAAGCACTTTGTAACTTGTTTTTGAAAAGTGCTCTACAAATAAAGATTAATATTATTAGTAGTATTATGACTATAACGTTAAAGCAGCAAATTACTGACACTATTGACTGAAAAAAACACACAAATACTACATCTTATACCACAACAAAACGTTATTAAAACGGCCACTCACTTCCCAAAGTTGGCTCCGCTGCTCAGGTTGTTAAACTCATCGTCGTCCGAGCTCGAGTCGGACTCTGAACCCGGCGGCTCGGTTCGGAGAAGTCGGTGACCGGACCCCTTTTTGGTCTTCTTTCTCTTGCTGTCCCCGAGCCCGATCAAGGCATTCAGCTCCTTCCTCTTCTTCATCTTCTTCTGAGGGGTCAGCGAACCCGCTGAGCCCGATTTAAACCCGACTAAATCCAAAGTTTTGTCCAGTTTGGTGGATGTTGTCGTTTGTAGCAGCTAAGCTAATTTAATGTTATCTTGCTAGCTTGAATTACAACCACGCAACGGTGCTAACGAATATAAACACATCAGGCTTTGCCGGTTGGTTGCCTTGTTGACTTACACCTAATACAAAGAAATGTTTAACAGGCGATCGGAATTACCCTACTCTCCCCCCAAAACGTCGCTAAAACAACTTTTTCTACTAGCTACCGAGTTATCACATACGTTAGCTAAGTCTGCTAACACCTGAAACCTGCTAATGTTAGCTAACGAGGGTTGAGTATTGTTACTTGGACTACCACGTCGTTTCTCTCCGCGGTTTAAAAATAGCTGCCCCGACGTCACTCATTCTGGAAACACTGCATGGGGTCGTTAAATAGAAAAACAGTATAAAACCTATCTATCATAAAATCAAAATATGCAGCACTGCCTGTCCAGCAGTCTGTATTGTTCTTCTTCTTCTTCGTCTTCTTAGTTAATGGCGGATTGCAAACAACTTTTAAGTGCATACCGCCACCTACTGTACTGGAGTGTGTAACATCACATCACTCAGAGATCAACCTCAATAAGGTGTTCTCATATTCTGTTCACCAACCCAGTGAGCCTGTATTGTTTGGGCAGGGCGTCCAAGTAACCTCACAGCTGATTGGTGCAAAGACCTGCTACAACTTCCTCTTCTCTGTTCTTGTAGGGAGCGACATAGTGCGCAACACCAATCGCCACCGACAGCCAATTTAGGCCGCCGCATTAGAAAGTCAAGAACAAGAAAGTTGAATTTGCAACTGCAGAAAACTGGATGGACACGAAAAACACGTTAGAATTGAATAGTTTAAAGACAACAAGAAGGTATTATTAGCATTTCAAACAATGCGGCAAATATTATCTAAATATATTGGGACCAAGCTAAACGTGAGAAGAAACAGTCTTGACAGTAACCCACTAGCTAGTTCCTAGCCAAACAGCCAGTCAGTCCCTATGTCCCCCTTTCAAACGACATTTCAATTAGCCCTAGATTTCCCTTTTTGTGTTAAACACCACGTGTGGTATTTTGCACTTTGATTTTATTTTGCTCATTAGAATAACCAGGGGAAGGTTTATTTGGAGTGGCTGTTGTCAAAACCAATTGTTTCAACTATTTGATTTAACTACTTTACATTGGGTGCTTTTATTGTGAAGTGTAACTTTATTATTTTAAATGGCTTGCGTGAACCCACCCACTAAGAAACCTGGTTTAGATCCCTCCCTCCCACAAAATTTTAGACCAATTTCAAAACTGCCTTTTATTGCAAAGATTTTAGAAAGAATTGTGTCCAAACAGCTGCTCACTGTACTGGAAAATAACAAAATATTTGAACAGTTTCAATCTGGTTTGTGGTCTAGTTGTGATGATATCCTGTTGTTGACATTAATGATTCTCAGCAAAAAATAGATGGTAACGTTACATGACAGTGTTGTGATGCATCTGAGCATCGCGACTTTATATGGTATTTAGCATTTGCTTATTGTCATAGGCTATATCTGTGTTAACATGATGATTATTATTCCAACCACATTGCCAGCCTTAAGCAGAGCCATTTGTAGAGAGCTGAAACTAATTATTTACATTATTTATTGATCAATTTGTGAATTATTTGTCAGTTGATAGGGGAAAATTAGGGCTATCAGAATGTTTGTGCCATGATGCTGTGAGATGTCTTTTTATTACTTGTCTTGTCCAAAACCAAAGCATGTTCATTTTACAATGATATAAAGCAAAAGGCAGCAAATCCTAGCATTTGAGGCACTGGAACCAGCAAATGTTTGGCATTTTCCATTGATAAAAGACTCTAAAGATAAATTAAGTATCAAAATTCATGTTATCTAATAATTTTCTGTACATACATTGTTACAGCTCTAATTTGTATATTTTCATACCTACAAGTTATCCCTTAGGCCTTTGTCATCTTTGTGTCAGTGTGTTTTAGTATTTACTTAATGTTGCAGAAAGAATGCACCAGATTCTATTAAACAGAATTTCATTTTTTGTTTCGATTCGCCTCTTCCAGCAGGGGTCCGCTAGAAATCCAGCTGACCTGGAGCGCTATTGGGCTGACCCAGCAAGACACATACATGGGCTGAGTAGAAGCAGAGTTGCTGCAGACTGGCCTTTAGCTCTTTTTCATTGAAAACGGACTCCCACTGGCCTGCTTTTGGCTTTGAAAATATGTTCCTTTATGTGCCTGGAACCCCATACTACCACAGTACAATACTAATAATAATGACACTGAATGAAAATCTCCACACTGGACCAATTTACAAACACACAAAGGAACTGAGATGCTCCTCAGCATCTCAGTATGAGCTTTGTTATTGAGTTGCAGGAGATGAGGCCCACTGCTGATGCTTTATTATCTTCAGAAAAGAATTTCTTAAGGCGATGCTTGTCAGTTCACAATAATAGCATGATGCCACCCACACAAATACAAAGCTAATGTTATAGCGTAGTCAGACTCTTGTGCCTGCCCTGTTATTTAAGTGCACTAAACTGGGGCATCTACTGTATTGTTTTGAATGCATTTATTGTGAATCCAGCAGCATCGTGTAGGTAGAAGTGCAAAATTCAATCAGTGGCTCATCTCTACTGAGAACACCTGGTGTGGGGACAAGCATCACGCTGAGGGTCTGCGCAGACCCCCGCAGGCACGAGGCTGTGAATCAAAGCACCAGAGGTGTTTCATCTCTTCACTGGAGTCTCGGTTTTTCATCCAGGGTTAAGACTGAAAGGATGACACTTCAACTTATGGCTCCTCACATCTACAGCCACGAGGTAGGGAGCATCAGGCATTAGAAGCCCAAAACTCTGATTACTACAAAACACTTGTTTTCACACTTTGTTCTCAGCAGGGGTTCTCACATTCTCACCAGGAGCGATTCCTGCAACCGTCAGGGCAGGGAGCTGCCTTGGGTGCTGACAGAGAATGTAAATAGCGGTTGCATGATAGGAAATACTGAATAGAATTGACTGCTAATTGAAGGCTTTCATCTGACATGGCATACTGTGTGAATGCAGATCATCATCAGTTGGAAGCAGGGCTGCTGTTAGAATACCAATTTCTCTCACCAGGCATTTTTACCGTTTATTTAGAATCTTTCAACCATTATGTTGGATGACTCAACTAGTAGACATGAAAATTTCATCATAAAATATATGCTGGCTGACAGATAAAATGGGACCCACATGGTATTTAGAACTGTGACACATGCTTGAACTTATGAACTTTATCTCTGACAGCTGCCGTCTGATGCTTCATCAGGAATCAAACGCATCATGTAGAGTAGAACGCAAGCTTTGTTTTCTATTCGCTTTAAATGTTTGTTCTTGATTCTTTTTCACATTAAAGGGCCTCAAAACATATTTCCTTTATTTCATTCCTACTACTCTCTGCTTGCACAATGTAGTGCGACGTTAATCTGTTTTATGAACTGCATGTCTGTTTACCTCCTGTCAGCTCAACGGCAATGTTACCTTTCACTTTTCACAGTTAGCTCTGTAGATACTGTTAATAGTTTTGTTTGTTTTTGTATATAGTGTTTTGATCCTCAGTATCTTAGATAACCTTTAGCAACATTAGCTATTCACTCAGTGGAGCACCAATGTTAGCTCTGTATTGTTTGGAGAATCTGTCGTCCAATCGGGGCTGGGATTACGAAAGGGGCCGTCATCTTAATAGATAGCTAGCTAACTGCAGAGCTAAACCTCTGAATAACAACAGAAAAATGGCGACATAGCTCTTGTGAGTCGATTTACAGAAATTACAAGTCCTTTATCGACATTTTGTTTTAATGGTTGAAAAAAACATTGGATTAATTGCACCTATAAACTACAAATACACCTTCTGTGTCAACTGAAAATGACACTGACGCTAGCGTATGTCACTCACTACTGATTGGCTAGCTCAAAATAAAACAGGGCTGCAACTACTAACTAACAATTATTTTCATTGTTGATTGATCTGCAGTTTATATTTGCGATAAATCGTTTACTTGCTTGATCTATAAAATGTGTTAAGGATTTGGCAACCTCTTAATCAAAAATGTGATAACAGTTCGGGGTTTGTTTGCTGATGTTACCAGGGAACTGTCAATCAAATCGGATCAAACCACAGTCACACAGTCCTGATGGAGCAGATTAGTTTTAATATTTAGTGTTAACTAAAGATCAATAACCCTCTGCCCCTTTTAACAAACTACTAAAGTTACTTTAATTTCATGATATTTATAATCCTTTATAACAAAATAAATATCACATATATTATGTATCAAAAACCACTGCCAGTTTTAAAAATTCTAATTGTAATCCAGCAAATGCTGATCTATGCTTTTATTAGTTTTCTTTCTTTTATTTTATTCATCTGTTTTTACATGTTTGCTGTCTCTGATTAATAAATAGATACAGATTATACTGTACAGTAAATACAGTAGAAGAAAATAAAATTATAATAAAATATAAAAGAATCCATAGTAAAAATTGAATAAATAAAATACCTCTGATTTAGATGCAAGAAGCTTACATACTTTACCTAGACATACATTTACCCTGTCCACTTCTAAACAATACTTTAAATTAGTCTGTGTGACCTTTATCTTTGTTTGTTGGTTCCTTTTTTTGTAACTGTGTAGATATTTTTTTAGAAAGTTAGGGTTAAAAAACATTAACCAAAAAGTATTTTTGTTATGAAATGTTTATGTAATTTATTTAGAATATGATTGAATTATTTAGACTACTCAAACTTTAGTCTGATTTCTCCAACAACTTTGGTGCGGGGAGTTCAGTCATACATCAACAGCATATCCAGAACATGATACATTTGCGGCTGCAGATGACACTCATATGGAAATGACAGAGTTTTGACATGAGAGTAGGGTGAACCGAAAAGGTAGCTGTCAAAGCCAAGAGTGATCGTTCTGTAGCACTTGCGTGACCCCCATTCCAAATGTCTTGTGTCACTCAGTCTGGCTCTTATAGGCCTCTGATAGTGTACAAAAGGGAATCAGCAGGGGGCAATGTTCTCACATCAAACAATACTAGACATGCAGAATAAAGGCAACACTTGAGCTAAGGACAGATGAGCTCTGAATCAGTGGTTTGGCTCAGTCTAATGGCAGCAGTGAAAATATATTTTATATCCAGCACAGCAGTCGTCCTTGATGATTTCTGTGCTGTATCAATGACTGCAGTATCCTGTGCAGATGTCTTATAATTGTAAAGGACTTGTACACCTAAATATTTTACACACTGCCGGACTCAACATTACACACACACACACACACACACACACATACACAGTCAGCTATGTTTGGGAAGCAATATGCATTTGAGATCATATAATCATTAATTATTAACACGATTGTGGGTAGCCAGGAAATCTTTATTTTCAGAGTAAAAGCAAAGACAGAGAGGGAGATGGCAGTTTGACGACCATTTGCAGCTTCCATTGTAACTCCCATAGTGTAGAAGTGTCAGTTAAATGCCTTTAAAGTAAAAGAACATGTATCGGACAGGAACATCATGATTTAGCGATTAATTCTCTGTCTTCTGCCAGAAATCCCACAGTGGCAACACTTAACTGTAGAGGACACCACTGCAGTGATACAGCAAAGATCTGATATAATCTGAAATGGATAAAAGAGAATAGATTAATAAGCTAAGCAAATGAAAGGGGTGAGAGAGGGACGAAAAAGCACACAGGGAGAGCACTGATTTGATTGAATTTATGGAAAGTTCAAACTGTATGGGCAGTAAATTCAAGACCTGTCTTGAGTTTATTGATTATCGTAAATCTTTTGCTCCTCATATCACTCGTAAACACATTTATGTAAATCCACATGGAAGCTTATACAACCCAGCTCAATGCTATTAATGAAGCAGTTGTACTGATGGGTCTCCCATATTGTGTAATGCAGCATGAGTATAAGGCAGAAATATCAGACATTTTAAATTCAATGAGATTTAAGGATTGGTTTCACAGACAGACAGCCAAAGTTCTCTTTTTCACTGTATTAGACCAGGATTAGTTTAATCCATGTCTGTGAAATAGGCCCCTTCGTTTTCCTGGTAATGTCTCCAGTCCGCTAGGCATCTTCTTGTTCAGTTCTTCTGTTATTTGCTAAGGAGAAGAAGAAGAAAAAAGAGACAATTGAAATCGACATAATTGGTTTTTTTGGAAGTAGTTTCAAGCACGGTTACTGATTTGCAGAACAGTCAAGAGAGGGCAGAAGTACAGCAAAAGACAATAAAGGAAGAATAAAAGGCAAACAAGGAGAAGAGAAAACGTTTGACATGTAAAGGGAATCAGAAAACAGAAAAATGGGAGCGAGAAGGGTTGTAGAGCATCTGAAGAGGTAAAATTCATAGACATTTTGCAAATTTGATTAAAAACGGTTTATATTAGTGATTAAAGCATCACAGAGATGGAAGAGATTTTATTGATGGCAGCATATCTGCAGACACCCCAGAGACGACAGTAACAATGCACTTTCACTTTCACTGTTCTAATAAGATGGATCAGGATTTTGCAGACCTTGTACCTGTTTTTCCAAGAAACCCCTCAGAGTGCATGGTGGGGGTAAATTGTGGTAAACAGAAATACTGCTCTGGCCTAGATTTCTCTCACACAGCGGCTATTTTATGAAGAACATCCAGCTTGCAGCAGACCAGACTCCCTTTACTGCAACTCATCTGTGACACGGGCTGATGGGTTTTATGCTGTGAAATGCGGCTATGCATTTGCTGTAGCTGCTGTTATCAGAGATGGAAATTCTGAGTTTGTACCTCCCGTAGTTTTATTGTATTGCTAGACGTGTGATGGTTGTATCATGTTTTATCTTTCTGCCCATGTCTCCTTGCTTATTTAAGTCCTCTTTCTAGAGTTTTCCTCAAAATCTACTATTAACAGCTTACATCTGTCTGTTTCACACTGAGTGGTTTAAAAAAAAACATCTCCAAGGCAAATACAGAGAGAGTTATTTTCTTCCTCAAAGACAGGGAGGGAAATGTGACATCCTATCCCACACACTGTAATTTTAAGTTCTATTGGCAGTTGCATGAACTGGATTTTGTGTGTGTGTGTGTGTGTGTGTGTGTGTGTGTGTGTGTGTGTGTACAGTAAATGTGACTGGCAGAGGTACTTCTGAGATCTAGTACTTAAGTAAATGTAACAATAGAATAGTGTTGAAACACTCTGTTATAAGTAAAAGTCCTGCATTCAAAATCTTTCTGCATTTAAAGTACAGATGTATTGGCATTAAAAAATATTCTTAAAGTACCAAAAGTTAAAGTACTCATTATTATGAGCCATTTCAGAATAATATATTATACTGTATAATTGCATTACAAGTATTGATGCAATAATGTGTAAGCACGACTTTAGCTTAATTTATAATAATACATCATAATCCATCTGTTACTTGTATTTTGTAATAAGCGAATCTGCATAGAAACTACTAAGTAAAGCTTCCAAATAAATGCAGTGAAAAGTAAAATATTTCCCTCTGAATACTAGTGTAGAAGTACAATTACCTCAAATGTACAGTACTTGAGTAAATCTCACTTCCCACCACAGTACTGCTTAACATTAACTTCAAAGAATGAGTAATATATTTGTTGTGCACATATTGCTCACAGTCCCTCCAGATTACTTCTAGTTCTTACGCATTTTAGCAGAATTGTCTCCATGTGGAAAATATGTGTGGACATCTGCCTATGTGTATGCATTAACTGCCTTGTAATGTCAGTATCACCTAATCGCATGCTTTCCCCCTCTGAAGTCTAATTATCCTAATTTCACTTTAATAATTCCACTGATTTCAACACAAAATGTATAAGTGTGAGTTCTGACTGTTAGATTGCCTGTTTCATTCTCAGAGAATTGATACATGTGGGGTTTGAACTAACAGCCACATCTGCTCAGTGTTAATGCAGCCTGCACCTGATTGGAGTGTTACAACTACAGCGAGCTAATGGTCTAATCACATCCATGCACGTGGTCATGGCATAATTTCAACCTTAATACACTATTTACTTTTCATTTGCTGTAGTTTAGCCTGGAATTATTCAAGAAAACGTGCGTGAACCCACTTATTATACACTTTTTATTATATATTTTGATTTTCAACAAGATAAAAGTAAATAACGTTTAAGCTTCAATTGTAGATATTTTTCTGGATGGTTGGATGATAGAGAAAGCAGGTCAGTTCATGTTTCTTTCCGTGTAAACAAACATGAAGTGGCAAAAATAGGTTGTTTTTTTTGTTTGCCTTCTGAACGTCATCTTAGTCACAGCTGTGTTTGGTCAAGAAAAAACATTCACACAGACAAGTTAAGCTTGTCACTAACATCATGCAGTTCCTCTATCTGAATGCCGTACTGTGTTGTTATTTGCTTGCTTGTGGTCGATCCTCTACCTTGCTCGATTCCTGCTAGTCTCCCTCAATCTCGGCCATTAATGAGCTGGGTTTGTGTTGTTTTTTTGCCCTCAAAACTATTGCTGACTGGAGGGCTGCGGGTTGTCCAGTGCATGAAAAGCGCAGGAGGGGTGTCTGTTTATGAGATAGTGTAACCATCATGCCTGGCAAGGACAATCGCAGCAGCATTCTCAGTGTCGCTTGATTCTGCAATGCCTCGTCTGCCTGCTTTGTACTGCAAACCCCGGCCATGTGTCTCTGATTCACTGTCTCTAGAAGCTATTCACTTTCAGGAATGGTGTAATGTATCCAAAAATGTTCTTATAACTATTGCTGAATATTGAGAGTAACAAGAATGTGCCCCAACTAGTATTGTTTTTTTAACAGTAACAAACAAAATAGAAATTTGAAAAATACAGTAGTTGTTGTGTATTAGCATAATTTGTCCTCTGCACGTTGGATGCCAAATGCAATGTGCCTCTTACTTATACTGAGGTGCAGGCAACGCTGTTTAGGCTCTTTGTGCTTGGCTGTATTCATCTACTGTCAAGCTGAAGTTGATCTGCAATTCTCTTTGTACCAGATCCTCTCCCAGCATCTACGATCCAGACGCACGAGGGAGAAACCTTGACGAGGCGCATGAGAAGAAAACCAGCAGATTTGGGTATGACTAAAACCTTCAAAGTGTTCTCCGTCAGCCAGATATTTTTTGTGATTCAGCCTATAGTGCAGACGAGCAGCACATGGAAAAAGATATTCTATATTTTCGGCAGCATGTGTTATTTGTGTTTCTCCGGACCCTGAGGTTCACCGAGCCCTCGCAAAATGAAGTGAGAGCTTGCAGCAGCTGCCAGATGGCTTGTAGTATAGAAATACTACCTCCTCTGATGAGGTCGAGAGGAAAGACACATTTTTTAAAGAAGAAAGGAAATAAGAGGATTAGGGCTGATAATGTGTGTGCAGCCTCCCACTAAGTGTACCCTGTTGCAGAATACCTGTGGCTCATGTAAGGGCCTGTTTACAATGGATTCATAGACATTCACAAGACAAAGCAGGAGCATTTTGTTTTTTTGGTGGAGGTTGTGTTAGTGCCAGATGTGATACAATCTTCTTTACATAAAATACACACGTAGAGAACTGAAGGTCATCAACAGTTTGTAGATGCTTACAGCACAATACTGATGAAGGCTAATGTATCCTTTTGTTTTCTTGAAGCCCATATTTTTAGTGGTAAATTGCACAAACATAATATGCTGAATGGAAAAACAACCCTTTTGCTGTTACAACGTAATTTGTTGTTATTCATTCTAAATTGCAAGTAAATGTGGCAAAACACCTTAACAGCAGATGGGCTCTTAAAGCGTCCTGAAAATATTTAAAAGTGAATTGCATGACCTTAATGAACAGCCTGTGAGTGTAAAAAATTATCTAAGAAATGTTGTTATCAAAGAAGACTTTGTGCAGTTGTAAATCACTGTCCTTGTTGCTCACCATATGCAAAGGATTTACTTGCAATCTAGTGTTTTGGAATACTTTCCTGCAAAAAAATTTGTGTTTTGCTCAAGGTTAACTCTGTCCAAGTTTTGCAATTGAAGTAATTAGTAAACTGAGTGGAACATGTGTCTGTTTGCTTAAAAAGACCAGGCAGAGAAGCCAAATGTGATTGGAAAATGCCAAAAAAAAAAAACAACTCTTCCCACACTTGCCTTATTATCAAATCCAGGTAATAAAAGGATTGATTGATGAAGACGTTGGCAGAGCAGCGAGAATTGCTCTCTTGCCATATTAACATACGGTAAATCACTGCCTGCTGAGTGAAAGATCTGGCATTTGTGCCATCCACAAACATTAATAAGACATAAATAAATAAAAAGGGGGAAAGGTGATTACCCTCTGTCTGAGGGGATTTTGTAGAAGGATGGCTCAGACAAAAGGGTTTCTACATTTTGTGCGAGCTCCCTCGCAAACCTCTATCAGCTTCCTAAGTCATATCAGATGTTTGGGTTTTATTGGGACTTGAAATAGTTATTAGCCTGAGCTCCCATCCTGCTGGATTTATCTCCTGCTAAATAAAGACCCACATAATAATGAGCTCTGCTTAGTGTGAAATCCTAACTTTTCTTCCTTTAAAAAATTATAACAGGCAGGTGAAATTGTAATTAATATAAGAGGTAATATGTCTCTTAACAGGAGTAGTATCCTCGGAATTCATCTGAGATGAAATAAAAAGTTTACAGAGCCAGCCTTATTACCACCGAACTGCTAAAATGGATTAAAGGAAAATCTCCATTAAACAATGAACAAAATAGCCACAGCGGCTCTGAATAGAAACCTCGCTGCTGTGTATGAGTGCAGACGGTTTGCTCAGTCTGCACTGAAAACCTTCAGCAGAAGGGATTACGAGAGAAGGTAGAGCATTTATGCCGTCCACTGCATGTTTCCTAAATTACACTATGCAGGTCATTTCCATAGGGGGAAAAAGTAGGCCTGCGGCGTATCTAATTTGTCTATAATACCAGCAGAAATAGAGAATCTCCTGCCAAGCAGCATCTCAACTTCTGCCTTTGTCTGACATACTGTTGCCGGAATTGCAAAACTCTGCCAATCTTCTGCCGATATTCCATTATATTAGACGTAAAACCAAAACGAGGCATACACTGGGAAGACTGTTTTATAGATATCCCATATGCTAATTCACAAGTATTTCATTAACAATTTAGTTATGATAGGAAATGTAGATCGAAAACACATTAAACATGAATCATGTTTACTGTTTTTCTTCTTCTATAACTGGCAGTAAATAAGCAATTCAGTATATACACAAAATGTTTGTTTTTTTATTTACTGGACTATTCAGTGTTATAATTCACAAAGGTATACTAAACCTGATTAACAAAAACAGAAGAAGGAAATAATGCAGCAGTACATTGTAGATAACTTTGCCTGTACAGATATGAATGCTTGCAGAGGAGATCATGGGCATGGATGAACTAATAAAACAAACAAAGCTGCATTTATTTTATAAGATGAGATAGAATTATAACCATTCCAATCCCAAATGTCTGTTCTAAAAGATGCTCAATATAACTAATAGAAAATGTACTATGCTTTCTATATACAAATATAGATCTAAAGGCTCTGACATGTATGCGTTTCTTCCACTTTTCACCTCCTATATTCCTGCATTTGGCACAATGCCCAAGAATCAAATTCAAGTTTTGGATTCCATGCAAATCCCATTCCTTGGCAACAATACCTGGTATAAAATGAAAGCACTTATTCTTCTCAGGAGGAGAAATAAAAAAAAAATGAATTCCTCTGCATGGTCAGAAACGAACAGTCATGCTGATTCAATTTAACACTGCTACAGGAGTGTAAAAAATATTACTCAATAAATAGCGGGTGCACTGTTAGCATTAATTTGTGTGTTTTAAATATACGAGCACTGCTGCTACTGATGCTGTCACTGTTTTTACACTATTGTCATGTGGGTGCAAAGTGACAAAACAAGTTGGCAAAGCAAGTGAAGTCTTTTTCTCAGCTTGTTTTTAAATTGCAGTAGAGGCAAACTGCGCCAAAAAGTGTTTACCATTCAGGTGTCGGTCAGAGGGTTGGATGTGCTCAACTATTTCAAATTGATTACAGGGTGAAGGATGGCCGCTAGACCTAAATTTAGGAAAGCTTTCACAAGTGAGATCTGAGATTTTATACTTCCTTCACATAGGCTACAGTGAGACTGCTGCCTGTCGCTCAGGGTTACAAGCTGCTCCTCTCCTTGTGTTCAAAGTTAGGCACGTAGCACAGATCAGACCTAATGTAACCTGACAGGGAAGCCAAAAAATGTCAGACCTTTTTTTTTCTCAATGTCGAATTTCTAAGTTTTGTAATTTTCTAGCTATGTTGTAAATCTAATTGTCTCTTCTTTAATAATCAGTGATGGTGCATATTTCCGTTGTAACCTCCTTTTAGCCACAGATGAAGGTTAACCTTTGCTTGATGAGAAAGAGAGGAGAAAAAAAGATGAGAAGACGGTTAATTTTTTTTCTTCTATGCCTGCTTCCTTTGTGTCCTAGTTAACATTAATATTATAAATAAAACCTTCCAAAAATAGACAACATAACCTTTTGTTCTCTCTCAGGTAAAACAGTTCAACACTTTCAAGCCCTTTTGACAGAGTTTTTCAGTCTAAAGCCTTCAAAGTTCAACATCTACTGTAGCTTTTACTGCATTACACGGTCCATAAAAATATAGTGGTATTAATAGCAGTTGTACTTAAATTTAATAACAGTTAACATGGCCAAATACAAATGTGTTAATTAGAGCAGTGACATACTGTATATCTACACTCAAAGAAATTAATAAAAAACATCCATCCATCCATCGCCAACCGCTTATTCTGTGTACAGGGTCGCGGGGTAATAAAAAACATACTAATAAACCCAGCTGCAGTTACTAAGACAAGTGCTAAACCTTGTCACACTGCACTTGATCTGGTGTACATACTTCTGTAAATATATATATAATATACTTTTTTTTGTTTAAGTGTATATACTGTATATACTTACTTTCCTTAGTCTTAAAGGCTGTATTGTAAGTGATAAGATTTTGATAATGTATTTTTTTCCTAATTAGGTAAAATCAACACACACATCTGCTTTAAATTTAAGTATGTTCATTACAAATAGCCATACCCAAAATGTGTCATATTCTTGATGTCAAGGTGTTAAGTCAAAAATATATCAGTAGTCAATTTTGTCAGTATTGTTGTTAATGTCCAGACTCCGACACTAGCGTCTTACCTGCAAAAATATAAATTTTCCTGCAAAAGTGAAGGATTATGTCAATATTTTTTTCACGATTGACATGGTAATAAGCCAGAGAGTTAATAACAACTTGGAGATTTAACAGTGGTAACAAAAAACACAGTAATTGTGACTGAAATGTCTTTTGACACTCATGTTTCAGGCGACCCAGGACCCGGCACCATAATCCCTGCACTGCTTACGTTCATATAAATAAATAAATGTCTTGCTGCTGTATAATTCACACCGCACCGTGCCACTGCTGTGTTATATGTCATGCTGATAATGACACAACGCATTTGTCAGTTCACACCCTCTAGTTTGTCCCTCCCATCATCCTGTGTTTGGATAAACATTTGGGCACTTAGAAATGTGACTGTCAGGGCTGTAAACTGTGTCGGGGATGCTCAACGGCAATGAGTACAACGCCACTTAACATCGTTTAGCAAGTCACAGAGTACACTTCGGCCACAACGAGCTGGTACACGATCAGTAAAATACAACAACACTGTCCAATTGACTGATATTAGTGTCAGTTCTCTTGTTAACACAACTGTGGTAGTCTGTTTAACTGCTGTGAGTATAGACCCTATGTAAAAATCCATATCGCTGCATGTTGTCACCACATGTCTTTTTCACAGTAACATAATTCCTATAATAGGTGTCTGGTAACACTCGGGGTCTACTGTATAATCAGTGCAGAAAAGGCCCCAGGTGCTCAGTTTATTGTATAAAATGAAATTCATGTTGATAGGTCAATCTCAAAAAGTAAAACTGGGCAGTGTTGTTGTACAAACTGTGGGGCCGTGCTGCTGCTGTTCTTACTTACTTTTTGTGGATCACTTACTGTGGATTTCTAGAG